TGATTTCCTGATGCTTTCTAAAAATTAAAGTTTCTGGTTATGAGAGCACTTTTTTCCCCACCATATTGCTGCTTTCAGCTGAGTTGTTTATTATTTGGAGTAACTGCAAAAAGTCAGAGCTCTTGGGCAGCTCAATGCTATTGAGCCAGCTTCTGGGATTGTTTTATGGCAAAGAGCCAGCAGACTTGCCTGTGCTTGTCAGAGGAGAAACACTGTTCATTTTTATTCTTGATTATAGAATAGCCTGTTTCAGTATTGCTTTTTGGTAGATACCTCATTCTCAGAAACATGTTGAAGAAAATGGTGAGGCATTAGAACTGAAGCTGGAGTAACTGGTGTCAGCATACTTCAAATTCTTGTGAATGTTGCTCACTTCTGTAAGGAAAGGCTACAGAGGAGATAGCTAGGTCACACTGCAGATGATGCTTACTTTGCCAGCCATGCAAGTGTTTTGTTGCCTCATTGTGGGCTTCAGGATGTCTGAAGAAATTACATAGTGGGTTTTGAAGAGCTTTCTCTGAAGCAGCAGTAGTTCGAGCTTGTTCTGAGTACTGCACTGTGCAGCTTCAACTTGTAACGTGGGACCACTTATGCACTAAACTTCTTGGACTAATGTTTTGAGAGGCAGTAAGTTTCATTAGCACCTACAATCAAGTGATCTTGAGTTAAGCGTAAGTTAAGTAAATTCAGTTGTGATTTCCCTGCCTCCCATATGCTATTGTGTCTTTTGTGTATAAAAGCTGCTTTGTGATCTCTCCTCCCAGATTGGATTGGGTAACCTGCAGTTCACAAATTTCAGTGGTTAAATTTAGAATTATCTAGGAAGACAGAAGTCTAGATTGTGATATAAACCCTGAAATACAAGATTTTATATCCTTCGTGACATCTACTAGTATTGTTTTATCTGCATGTTGTCTTCATAAGTATAAATGTATTTTCTGTCATTGTTTTTCTAGATAGGTGCTTCCCTGACAGCATAAGAGAAGGACTACCATAGTCTTAATTTGCACTGCATGAGGATGATATTTTTGTATCTGTTTGGAATTTCCTGGTTTTATAAATATCTAATCCTTGTGTTAGGCAACAGGTAGAACAAAATACCTTGTCTTCCACTTCTTGGTATCTCCTCAGAGCTTGCAGTCTAGAATGTAGACTACTTTTTTTTTTTCTATTAGAAACTTCCCTTAGCAGTCTGTTTTCCAAGTTTGTTTTCCTTGAATGGCCAGGATACTGCACTGTGAATCATTACAATCATGCCATATTTTCTCATAAGATTATTACAAAACACAATGACTATAATACTACTGATAATCAGAAATCTGCACCTCCTTCCCATAATAATATAGTATTCTTCACAGGACATTCATCACTTTATGTAAAACAGAAATAATAATAACAAAGGCATGGGTTTTGGCATCTGATTTGATCATTAGGGGGCACTGCACAGCTACAGAAGAATCAGTGGGATTTGCAGAGAAACGGATGCATTTCCAGTAATGCTATTTCACTCTCCATAACCTCTTCTTCCAAACTGTCTGGGAGCAGTGTAAGATGAAAGTCATTGCTGTAATTTAAGCTAAATTCTGACTGAAACTGTTTTTGATAGCAGTTTGTTAATTATACAATGCTAGAATATAAACATTCAAATTCTTTTCAGTGTGCAGAGAAATGTGTTCATAGTAGTTCACAGAACTGTCTGTTTTGCCATATATGTTGGTCTTAGACTTAAGAAGACACATACTTCTACACGCTGCTTTCTAAATGTTAAACATGGAGCGTAATTATGCTCAGTGGACTTTGCTTTCGATTGTATACACAGTTGGATGTATGGGTTATTTCCAATAGATTTTGATGGGGGGAAAGTTAGTTTTTAAACAATAGCTTTCTTTCCAGCGCTATACACAAAAAGGTATATTGCTTTTGGACATGGACTTTTCTGTGATGAATACCAAGATTTTTGCAACTGGAGAGAAATTGCTGTAAAAATAATTTTATAAACTCAACACAGAAGCAGAATGCTTTGCAGTAATGAACATCAATCTGTACCAGTATGTTTCTGAAGAGAATGTACAGGGAGTCATTTTTTTCCAGGTTTTTAAGTTGATACATTGAGAAAATTGTTGCTTACTTTATAGGGGTTTATTTTTCTGTTTATTTGGTTCAAGTGCTCCCCTTATATATATTAGGCTACATTTGCATGGGTTTCTTTTGAGATTTTTCTAAATTTCAAGAACTTTCTTCTTTTGGGATATGGGCCATTTTTGTTCTGCCTTGTGCATTTGTGTTAGTTTGACTGGAGCATTTAGGTTATATAGACAGTGTTAAAAACAAGGAAATAATTTCATAAGCTTTGTTGCATGCTGGGCCTAATTTTTATTGATTTTTGTCTTCTGTTTTACGTGCCTTTTGCTCCTTACCCTGTCTCCTGTTGTACCCTTACAAGCAAATGGCAGAGTATTGTAGGATCTAATAAGGCTTGTTTTCAATGAGACTAGGCTAAAACAATCTTGTCCATTGTTAAAGGGTAACTACTTGGAGATAATAGGAAATCCAGCCAAACTCTTTTCATGGAAGTTGGCAAAGAGGTAGTTTGCAAGGCAAAGAGCCTCCTTTGAACTCTTGTGCCGGAAAGATGCAAAATCCTAGAGGTAGTTACACATTTTTCTTAGCTTTCTTTCAGGACTTTGCCAGTGGTGCTGCACCTGCCTCATTTATCTGAAGTCCTCTCTAAGCCTAAATGATCTGCACAACTGAAGCAAAAGGAAGATGTTACCTCTGTGTTAAATCGAGAGAGTAAAGGAATATGACAAGGGTAGTCTGTTCCTTCGTGGAGTGATGTATTCTCCCTGAGACCCTTTGGGAAGTAATGCCTGTTGTGATGCATTGTCAGCCCTATTTCAGTGGTTGTTACATGAGTAGGCACTCATGCCTAATGCCTCTTAAGTCAAGAGTATGACAGATTATGCTACATGAACCAAAGCTGCCAAGAATAAACTGTGTGGTCATTCTTATGGTTGAAAACACAAATAAAGTAGTCTTTGGTATTGACAGATATTGCACTGAATGATTAATTCTGGTCAGGGAAAAAATTAATGCTATTCTATGACCCATTCAAAGTCAAACATGAATATGTTGTATTCGGTTGGATTTGGAGGACAATGCTTACATTTCATGCTGGAAGCAAACAGAGCAATTGTACTGTTTCCAAGGGTGTCTGTTATTCTGGTCCATGCCAGCCTGTTGCCTTTACCACCTCTGTCAAAATAAATCTTTCAATTGTGTGGAGCCAGTTCTTGGTGTGTAATAGTCTGAAACACTTGTCTCTAATCCTGTAAATAATAGTTATCTCAGTTTCATGTGTAAGTCACAGCTGTAGTCAACAATTTTTTCACTAACTATAATGTGAAATGTTTTAATGCTTAAATGAAGATTTAAGATGCAAGTCTTCAACATCTTAGGATAAAAACATGGCAGATCTTGTTTTGTAAAACTTATCTATCACAGTGATAGTTAGGCACAAAATCTTAGTATTAACATGTCTCATCCAGTTTTAGTTTATAACTTTATATTTTTTTGTCCTTTAAGAAAAGTTGAGTTAGTATATGAGGGTGTTAATGTAGCTGTGTACTCAGGGACTTACGTACCCTGGTTTTACAAGCTGACCATGGTTAGATGCCCCTGTGTTTTCTGATGAACAGCCAAGCAACTCCTCCATGGAGGAAGAACACTTACTTCTACCCACCATCCCCCTGGTTATAGTTTTTCCTCTTTGGTTTGGCTTTGGGGTTTTTTTTTTTGTTTTGTTTGGGGGTTTTTGGAGGTTTTTTTGTTTTGTTTTTTCATTAAAAAAAAAATCACACTCCTGGTGGATAATAAGCTGAACACAAGCCAACAGAACACCCTTACAGCTACAACAACCTATATTGCCGTATTAGCAAATGTGTAACCGTCAGGTTGAGGGAATTGGCAGTGCCTACCTGTTCAGTACTGGCAAGGCTGCATTGGGATAACCGCATCCAGCTTGGGCTTCCTGTTGACATTGGCATACTGGAACAAGCACACTAGAAGGGCTTGTCAAGATGACACAAGGAACGGAATGTATGATGAAGGAGAACCTGGGGGAGTGGGCTTATTCATGCTGGAGAAAAGGAGGCTAAGGAGGAGGGGAAGCCTTCCTGCTGTCTTTGTGTGATGGGGTGGGGAAGACAGGGAAATACTTCTCACATCTGCAAAGTGCTTCCCCATAGCCCACTATGAAAAGTCAGTAAGGGAAATCCTGATAAGTTTTTAGGAAAAAAAAATTTTCACCATGAGGGATTTCAGACACTGGAACAGATTGTCCGGAAAGGTTGTGGCCTCCATCCTGAGAGCAATTCAAAACTCAGTATGGCCTTAGGCAACCTGCTCTATGTTGGCTCTGCAGTTGAGCTGGAGGTTGGATAAAATAATCTCCAAAGTCCCTTCCAACCTGAATTAGTGATTAGACTCTTGTTAGTGATGTGAGAGCCCTTGTAATCTTCTGTTTATAAATCCAATGAAGGAGTTTTGCTTAGCTTTCAGTCTAACTTGCCTGTTCCAAGAGTGTTTATACGTGTTAACAAATGTACAGATATCCCACAGATCTTTTGCTGTAGAGTGGTATGTATGGGGATCTCCTTCCTCACTTGTTCCCCTTAAATTTTAACACCTCTAATGGGTTCTATTTTTGGAGATGTAAGGTAAATCAAACTAGTTTTGAGGTAAGTAATGTGTGCCTGACTGCATCTGTATCTGGGGGACTAGTGACTGCTGCTCTCACTTTACTGCGATTAAGCTCTTAGCAGACAGTTGTCTCTTGCCTGTGTCAGTAATGCACCTGGTTATTTCATTAACTTTAATAACAAGCAGGAGCATGCGAAATCAGCAGATGGTTGTATTTCTTCTTCCTAGGTCAAACTTGTGGATTTGCGCATACCAAAATGCTTGTAACACTTTTTGTATTTGACTTTGAATGTTCACAGCAACTGGAAGAAAGAAGTGAGGATGAAGAGGATAAAGAGTGCTTAAAGCAAGCAATAACTGCCCTACTAAATCTTCAAAGCAGTATGGAACGGATATGCTCCAAAAGTCTTGCAAAACGAAGGCTTAGGTAAACGTTTCCATTTTTCCTGCTTTCTGCTCTTAATGCTTTGCTATAAATCCAGGGCTTCCAGTTTCCTCTTTCAGTAAACAATGAACAAAATAGTTTGTGACAAGCCTGCTTTTTCAGAGGAAGTGATATCAAAGCCAAGATAATTTGTTATTGTTTTAAGACTGTTCTAATTTCTATGTATCCTTGCATACTGGTAGTTGAGACGTTCTGAGAATTCACTGGTAAGTAGAAAGTTATGGCGTTTGTGGGTTAATTATGCTCAGATAATAAATATCCACCTAAAAATACTGTAAAAGTGCATTTCTGTGTGATTAGAAGGGAATGTTCTTGAATTTGAAGCTACTTAATCTGAAGTTTTTTGTACAATGGCTAGTTAAAATTACCACTGGATAACACAAATAGATGCATAGATAACTAGTACTTAGTTGCACTGTTTCATTTAATGCTAATATTTGTGCAGTTATTTAAACATGTTAAAACTTTGCTTTTGCTCTTAAAATTGTTGCAGTATTTTCTTTGCCAAACAAGTTCTGTGCTGCAAAGTGTACTCTTTAGGCTTGGACATGAATGCAGTTAACAGCTTATTTTCTCTGAATGTGCTTCTTTCAAATTAATGCAGTCTAAAATTGTTTGTCAGCTGTGGAAATGAGTGGTTTGTTAGGCTAAGAAGCACTAACGGCTTGCCTACTTCTGGTTGTCTGTATTTAGGTAAAACATTTATTCTCTAGAAGATAAGTAGAAAATTTATCAGATGAGGTACTTAAGAGAAACATTAGTCGAGGCTTGCAGTGGTGCTGATACTGGATGCTGAAATTGCACTTTCAGTGGAATTCTCACCACTCAGAAAGATGATCTTGTGTTTTTGCTGTTAGTGGTGGTTGTGGTTTTTAAATGCACGTATACTAATAGGCTGCCTTTCTTCCATCCTTTACTGAAGTGAATCTGCATGCCGATTCTATACTCAGCAGATGAAGGGGAAACAGCTAGCAATTAAGAAAATGAATGAAATCCAGAAAAATATTGATGGTTGGGAGGGTAAGGACATTGGACAATGCTGTAACGAGTTCATCATGGAAGGAACGCTCACGCGTGTAGGAGCAAAGCACGAGAGACACATATTTCTATTTGATGGCTTGATGATTTGCTGTAAGTCAAATCATGGCCAGCCAAGACTTCCTGGTGCTAGCAATGCAGAATATCGCCTAAAAGAAAAGTTCTTCATGCGAAAGGTACAAATCAACGATAAAGACGACACTAATGAGTACAGACATGCTTTTGAAATCATCTTAAAAGATGAGAACAGTGTTATTTTTGCTGCTAAATCAGCTGAAGAGAAAAACAACTGGATGGCAGCATTGATATCTTTGCAATATAGAAGCACACTAGAAAGGATGTTGGATGTAACAATGTTGCAGGAGGAAAAAGAGGAGCAGATGAGATTTCCAAATCCTGAGCTTTATAGATTTGCAGAACCTGACTCTGAAGAGAATATTGTGTTTGAAGAAAACATGCAGCCCAAATCTGGAATCCCCATCATCAAGGCAGGAACTGTTGTCAAGCTCATCGAGAGGCTGACTTACCACATGTATGCAGGTAAGGTATTTCATTTGTATAGCCAAAACTCAAGGTGGTACCTAGTTTATGCTTCTCTTTCTGTGTTAAATACATACAGCAAAATATATACAGTGTGTAGAAAGTGAATATGCTTTGCAGTACTCATATTGTAATGTACTTTTTGAGTTAAGGTTTTGAGATCTAAATATGCGCCTCAGCTATAGCATTTAAAAATATGAATGGCTAAACATAGTGGGGATGTGCATGTGCACAAGGTTATTCTTATGCAATGGATGGGGGTTGGGAGCCTGCAGGAATTGAGCTCTAGACAATACTTTTTCCTGTGTGCCCAAGGCTGCAAGAATTGCCTTCCCGCAAGACAAGCTGGGTGGCACATGAAGCATTGTGGAAGAGAATTATGGGCCCGGTGTTTTCTGTTAAGGGTTGTACTCTATGAACTATTACCTGTGCCCATGCTGGCATGTAAGGAAAAGACCAAATATCAGCTTGCTAGAAGCAGTCATTTGCATAATTTGGCCTCTGAACTTCTCCTTAATTAGAATTTTAGTACGGATTTGATTTAAGGACTTCAGGTTTCTGTTTGTGTTGAAGAAGGCATTTATGTGATCATCCAGTCCAACCTCAGTGTGTGGAGTTTTTCTTGACAACTTCCCAGGATTTTCATAAGCTGGGCTTGGGTTTTGGGCTTGGATTTTTCTTTTTTTTCTTTTTTTTTTTCTTTTTATTCTACTGTATGTCAGTTATTCTAAAACTTCATGCGTCTTGGTATTAGTGCTTCTCATATTCAAATGTGGATTCTTCCCCCCACCCTCCCCCCTTTCTTTTTACTCTTTACATTCTGATTATCCTAAATTGTTCTTTTGCAGCTCAATCTGGGATACCCTGCATAGACCAGGAATATTTGTTTGGAAAAGTGGGGAGTAAACAGACTATAATTAGTGTAGTTTAGTACTTTTGTTTATCTTTAAAATGCTTGTAAATACATCTGTTTACTCCATACTTCTATTGCTCTTCTCCACCTTTCCTTCAGTTGAGCTTTCCTAACATTTATTAGAAACGGAAATGCAATATCATGCTGGCAGTTTTTACCAGAGCAGTTTTGTGCCTGTCTTCATTTTCTTGTAACTATAAACTTTTAGCTCTTGGCTTCAAATTTTACAGGCATTATTTATGACATAATTTTATGGTTTTGGAAGTTAAAATAAAACAAATCAGCCTTAGAGAGAGGAAGACACTTTTTTTTTTTTACGCCAGCATTATTTTTGGCAGAGAATTAACAAAAATAGTACTTCGTTATTTTTGATTTTTGTGTTAGTTAGCATTTACTTTGCTTTGGCTAACTTGCACACCATTGAGAATTGCCCTTTCCATATATGCCGGGACTTCAGTGCCATAGCCTTGGTATTGCTCCACATCCTAGCAGTGCTCTCCAGACATTGTCCCTGTCCAGGAAGCCACAAACTACATTCTCCAGTTCCATAAAACAGAAAAGCCTGTTTTTAAGGAACATGTGGCTTGTTGAAATATGTCTCTTGTCTGGTTTTTTTGGACCTGCATGTCTTTTTGGCCTTTTTAGCACATAGGACATCAAGGAAGAATTTAGATTGATTAATTAGATCCACCTTCACCCACAGTCATTTAAATCGCTGCTTGTATCATCTCCTGTTTAATAAAGGTTTAAGTAGGTCGCTTGAAGCCTAATGTTGCGAGTATGTGTGACATTGACCAGACTATTGTATGACAAAACTGAGAATGTGGGTACTGTCAGATAGGCTGAAAGACTTTGACCAAAAGAATGCTAATGGTTGTCTTATGATGTATTTAGCCTGTCTTTGTAGCCTTAAAGATCTTTGGATCTTTAGGATTTTATTTATCTTAGGATACATGCATCTGATGCTGAATTGCTAGGTTGCACATCATTTCTCAACACTCTTATCTTTCGTTCTATACCTTCTGTTTTATAATTGGTTTTCTATGAGAAAAAAATGTTATCATTCTAATGCTTCTGTGCTGTCTTTTTCAGGGGAACAAAGAAATACAGATACATTGACTCAGTCAAAAATGCTCTGTTGTAGAGGAAACAAGGTCCATTTACTAAGTAAATCATTCAGTGTTTTGTTGCATTTTATGAAATGCAGGGAGTAGGGCAACAACTTGCCATAGTAATCCTTTAGCTCTTTTCTTGTGCACGTATCAGTTGAATTCAAGGCTTCTGTTTTGCTTGGAGACATGGGAAGAATAGTACTCTGGTGACATCTAGGCAAACAGCTACAGACTGTAGAAATGCTTTTCTTGCCCCACGTAGGATTATGTATGTGTGATTGTAATCTTAAAAGAATTTATTGATTTTATATTCATATTCCAGAATAGCAAACTCTTACTTTTCTGAAGCAACTTTTCTCAAATACAGTGTGACTCGTTATGGCAGCCCTTGATCTGACAGTCTAAAGAAAGTGTTTACCATAGCTGTGACTCTTCTCTAGGTTTTTATCTTATATGAGTATAATAATATGAGTAATTACAGGTATAACAAAAGCAATTTTTTGCAAGTAGCTGAAGAGCAGTTTAGTTAGTTGCTGGCGGTGGGAGGCATCCAGCCACTGTGAGAGCTACGAGAGGAAGACAGCCCTGATGGCCACCTGGCCACAAGGTACAGCAGACTGTCCAAACCATCCTGTTGTGGAACAGCAAAATAGGGAAAAATCTCTGCAAAAGCAGCTTTTCATATATTTTTACATGAGAGAAACCGCCTTTTTATTAAAAATTCAGGTTCGGACCCTATTTGCATATTTTGGTGGGTTTTACTTGTTTTAATGTGTTTCTGCGTTCATTATCTCCTCCTTTGCCTGATTCTTATTTAAGAGCATCTGGGTTAGGCAGTACTAGGATTTGAAAGTCTTGGCAATTTTTTTTTATCTATAGGGCAGTGCTCTTCTATTTTTAAAGCTTTGATATGTTAAGAGTGCTTGTGCGTCATCATAGTGTCCGTTTCCTTTCTTAGGGAATTCAAGGGTGATTATTTATAAATCCTTGTAGAACAAGTTATTGTTCTTTTTTAGCTTTCAAATTGGCTGTATTGAAGAGAGAATTATCACATGAGCAGACATCCTGACTAACTGTTGTTGTCTGTGTTTTTTTTAATGCTTGCTCATATATTGTACACTATTTTGAGTTACAGATTTTGCTAGTGAGATAACAAGGTTAGATTTGATTTTCTGATATACTTCATTTGAAACCCAATATGTATTGTGGATTTAAACACTGACCCTACCTGTAAATAACAATAGCTATTACTCAGAGCTTGCAGTGATCTGAAAATGTTAATTGCTATGGAGGCTTTCATTTTCATGTAGACAAAATCTCTTTAGAGTGGGTGCTGTGTACAGTATGCAAGCTGTGAAAACATGAGTTACTGTGCTTACTTCTATACTTGTTTTTTAGGACAACAAAAATTGTGTATTTTCATTATGAGGATGATGGGGACAGGGTAATGGCTTAATATAGTGTTAGGCATTTTTTTCTTCATTATAGCCTATAAGAACTCCTGCTTCAAGTCCTGTGTGCTCCTCTTCAGCCACTCTGTGTTAAAAAATTACAAATTGGGATTTGTTTTTAAAATCTGTATATGGATTTAATATGCAAAGCCATTGCAAAGTGCTCATTAATTTTGTTCAGTGATAACAATGTTAACCTTGCTTCTAGTCAGCTCTGTGCAGTTGCCAACATGCTGTCACTGCATTTCCTCATACTTGAAAACAAATGGTTTTGCTTTTGTAATTAAGGGAGACACTTTGTTTTTTTCCGTTTTGAATACTTGCTTGTTTTTTAAATGCATTTGAATATTTTAAATGAACTGATATGTAATTAGTCAATTTCAATGAAATCTGTTGATTATATATGAAAATATAGCTGTCAGCTGAAAAAATATCTAGCCTGCCTTAACCACAACTGATTATCAGCTGTACCAGTTTAGGGAAAGCATTCTCCCCTTGAAGATGCCATTTCTTTCCAATGCAAAGTTACTTGCTGTGTCTTTTGTGTTATCTTGTCCTGATCATTGTCAAAACCAAAGTTGTTTACTATATGGCTCATAAATAATAAATGGATGACTTTATTTACAAGTTGTTGAAAAATAATCCAGTCTTTTAATAATTGAAGGGAAAGAAAAAGTCATTGTTTTGAATTTTCAACAGAATAAAAATGGTTTTTAAATTCTGCTTTGTATTGCTATTTTAAGAGGTTCTGAATTGTTACCAAGCAATTCCTGTTTACATCATCTTCTCTGTAAATTGATAGGCTGGCATCCTTACTTTTAAAGGATTCTTAAAGTTATTTTAAAATATTAAAAAATGAGGTAATTGCTGACATAAGCATAAATTATTCTTTGTCTTAGATCCCAACTTTGTTCGGACTTTTCTCACAACTTATAGATCCTTCTGTAAACCTCAAGAGTTGCTGAGTTTGCTAATAGAAAGGTATGCCACTGTTAAAAATATTGTTCATATGAAGTGCAAATTACTATTTTTTAAAAATTTTTACTTGGAGTAGAGTTTGTAAGATTCTTGTTTTACAGTTGGTTTTGTCACTCCAAACACTTTTTAAAAAGCTGTCAAATTCAAGAATTGCAAGTAAAATGTGCAAGTTAGGTAAGCTTTAGAATTGTTCAGGTAGTCCAGTAATTTCCATCAGGTTTTGTTTTTGAAATCTGTGTTATTATTGAATTTAGCAAATCTTCCTATGTACTTACCAAGACGTAAGATTCTGATGTGTGGAAACTTTCTGAATTTTGAGCTATTTTTGATCAACATTTTATTCATGCATGCTGTGAGCAATATTAGTGTAATAGGAGCCCAGTCTTACACCCATCTTCTGTGCTAGATTTGAAATTCCAGAGCCTGAGCCAACAGAAGCTGATCGTATTGCTATGGAGAACGGAGACCAGCCTCTTAGCGCAGAGTTAAAAAGGTTTAGGAAAGAATACATTCAGCCTGTGCAGCTACGGTGAGTATTGCATCAATGTGAGCCAAACTGACTTCCTTTAAGTCTTTTGAAGTACCATCTTTTGGATGCAGTGGCTCTTCGTGATACCGGCAACCTTTCTTGTTGGTGCTTTGATAGAGAGCGTATGTGGGCAGTCAGCCTTTTGACCTTGCTACTTGAAAAAATGGTAGGAATTTGAATTCATGGCATTCCCTTTCTCCCTTGGGAAAGGCTTGTGCTGAGTTTTAGACTATTAGTGTGCAGATTAGTTGCTTATACTCGCTATTTTTTTTAATCATGTTTCTGCAAGGCTATACAGCATAAGTGTGTGTCCTGGTTTCAGCCAGGGTACAGTTAATTTTCTTCACAGAAGCTAGTGTGAGGCCACAACCATGTAGGCAGAGAACATTTTAGATAAATGTTCTTTTTATGAACTCTGACTTTACTCTGACTTCTTTAAATTTAAAGTAGAAAAATGCTTATAGCTGGTTGCTGGTGAAATGCAGACAGTAGCATTTGGTATGCTGATTCTGATATTCCTGTGAGCCTTTGCCTTCTAAAAGCCTTGAAATGCTAGACGTAAACATAGGCTATATTATAGAGTGTTTACTTATCCTTTGCTTTTGCAGAGTATTAAACGTATGTCGACACTGGGTAGAACACCACTTCTATGACTTTGAAAGAGATGCTGATCTTCTGCAACGTTTGGAGGAATTCATTGGAACAGTAAGAGGTACTTACGGTTTCTTAAGTGCTGACATTTATCATAAGGCATTCCTTTTCAAAGGTATGGAACGGAATCATTTTTCCTTTCACTGAGTAAAGAAAAACAGGACTTACTGCTTATTAAATACTTCACGAAGTACATAAAATCTTAATTTTTAAAAAAAACACCACTATTATTCAAGGTCTGGCCCCTGTTCAGAATAATGAATGTTACTTATATCCTGATCAATAAGTATTGGTTTTGTTATAAAGGGACTGAAATAATGCAAAATAATAACTGAGTAATGATCGAGACAGAATAATTGCTTTGATTGTCGTCTTAAACAATACACAGGGGTAATTTTTGTAAAAGTTTTATGATAGAAACCACCGTTTCTTTGAAGTAAGGGTTTTCCAGCTATTTCACAGTGCATATTAGACCTGTAGGACAACTTCCAGTTGTGATTGTACAGATCTTTCCTGTTCCTTTGTAAGAAAAACTGAGACAGCTATAGGAGCAGTTTGTAGGTAAATATTGTTAGAGAAGTATTTAATGTTTATTAAGCAATTAAAAAGATGGGGAGAATGAGCCAGCTAGTTTATAATGTGAATTACTGGTAAATTTTCAATGGACTCGCCATCTCGTGCCTGAAATTCTTATGGTGTAGAGCTAAACAGTCATTTGGCCTTTGTGTTTTATTCTGAGCTTTGATGCTAAATGCAGCAGAGGGAAAAGCTTCTCCCTGTTTGTTATTTTGCCCTTCTATGTTATCTGAGGTAAGCATGTACTCTTGCCCAAAGTATAAAGTTCAGTGTGTTTACAGAAGTGAATTTTGGGCAAAAGAAGGTTAGTTCCCATAAACTCATTGTAAAGTCAGAAAAGAAATGAAAATACCTGATTCGGAGCAGAAGCCTCATTTGGGTGTTCTGCATTGTGCTTGGGCAAATGTGGCGTGCTCAGTTTTGGCTGTTGAAGAATTCTTCTTTGTATGTTTGAATGTTTTGAGACCTATATGAGAACACCACTTCTGCATTTCTAAAGAATATATGGTGGTTTTAATTTAGTAGGTTTTGGGTTTAAATCCAAAGACTTCTAAATTATACTGACCTCTTTGGGAAAATAGTATTAAGAGTAAGTAAATAGTAATTTTATCTCTGTGTGCTAGGCAAAGCGATGAAGAAATGGGTTGAATCGATTACAAAGATAATCAACCGGAAAAAGCAGGCACAAGCCATTGGGCCAAGTCACAACATTACTTTTGAGAGCCCACCTCCAGCGATTGAATGGCATATAAGCAAACCAGGACACACAGAGACTTTTGACTTGCTCACTTTACATCCAATAGAAATTGCTCGGCAGCTCACTTTACTTGAGTCAGATTTTTACAGGTAACTTTCCTCCATTGAAACACACATGACACAAACCAAAATATTCTTCAGCATGAAATTGTTTCTGCGGGCCCCTGCTGTGAAGCCCCACGGTAGGTCAAGGGGCTTTACCAATGCTGTATATTTTAATTGCTATTTTTTCCGGGGGGGGAAAAAAAAAAAATCTAAAAACCAGCATTTGTCTTTCCTCCGCAAGTTAATGGGCAGTACATGTGACTGTATTCTGTTAATTGTACTGTGCTGCAGAGTTATCTTGGTATTTTCTGAGTAGATCCACCTTTGAGAAGTATGAACATTAATTAAATCACTTTTCTTTATATCCTAGTTTGTGAAGCAAATTATGGACTTGTGTCAGATCTCACTAGCTGTCTGTGAGAGGTTGTTCAGGCATTGGAAGCTCACATTTTATTGTGGTGGATGAGATGTAGACTTCACTCTTCATTTAGGTGAACAGAGGTGGTTAATAGTCACATAAATTAAGAAATATTTACACACTAAAAAAGAGTCGTACAAATACCAGTCACGTAGTCATGGGGGGAGCCTAACATTATAGAGGACAAGTGACACCGTAAGAATTTATTTCCAAATATTAATTCCAAATTCACTGGAAATAAAGAAGTTTTGGGAAAATAGTATCTTCTTTCCTGCTTTTAGTGACATTTTTTGATACATGCATCTACTTTTCTAGAGCTGTGCAGCCATCTGAACTGGTTGGAAGTGTGTGGACAAAGGAAGATAAAGAAATTAATTCTCCCAACCTTCTCAAAATGATAAGGCATACAACTAACCTCACTTTGTGGTTTGAAAAGTAAGTGACTTCCCTGAATCTGCACCTACTGCATTGCTGGACGTTTACACTCCATTCAGAAGTATACTGTGAAAAATTCTGTTCTGGGAGAATTCCAGTTTTAAGTCATGTTTAGATGCTACAATTGGTCCTTGCGAGAGTTTTACCATAATGGTCTCAGCTTTTTATTCTTAAAATATTTTCAAAACTGTGTAAAATAATTTCATAAACTTTTCATATTTGTTTTTGTTATGATTTAATGCTTGATTTTGGAAGACTCATCAACACTTTAATACAACATCAAATGTTCTTGTTTATTTAGATGCATTGTAGAAACAGAAAACCTAGAGGAAAGAGTAATTGTAGTGAGCCGGATAATTGAGATCCTGCAAGTTTTTCAAGAGCTAAACAACTTTAACGGTGTCCTTGAGATTGTCAGTGCTATGAACTCTGCAGCAGTGTATAGGTTGGATCATACATTTGAGGTACAGTGAAATGTTTTCCTTTTTTGGTATGGAAGTGTAATGCAGTGCACCTTAGCTACATTAAAAGCCTGTCTTTTGAGTAAGCATGTCCTTCAAGGAAGGAGCAAGGAAGATAAATCTCCAACAAATTAATCAATGAGGGTATAACAGAGAGGGTTTTTTTCTTGGTTTCAGAAGCAAGAAATTAGTCCTCACTTAAGAAAGGCACAAAAAGGTAGCAAGATCCTGAGATGGTGGGGCATTGTCCTCATGGTCACTGACAATCAGTGGGAGACCATTTTTCTCAGTATTGCTGCTGGGCTACACCTTTGCCCTGTCTTTCCAAACAGCCTGTTTCATCTCTCTTCTTAGCAAATTCCAAGTCGCCAGAAGAAGATTTTAGAAGAAGCTTATGAGCTGAGTGAGGATCATTATAAGAAATACTTGGCAAAACTCAGGTCCATAAATCCTCCTTGTGTGCCGTTTTTTGGTAAGTATGTTTGGTTTGAATGAGCTGTATCATGCATAAACGTTTGGAAAGTATTGAGATAGGGCACTGAACAGAGTATGAACAATAGTGAAAAGTCAGTTTTAACAGGACAGCTGGGTTTAAATTTCAGTTGTCCAGACATTAATTGCATATATATGAAAGAAAAATTAAAGTGACTGTTAATTGCAAATGTTATTTGCAGTAAAAATAAGTATATCTGTAAAAGTATATCTGCAGTATCTTATTTACTTATTTACTCATTTTTACTTTGAATGTGGTTTGAACTGTTGTGACCATAATTGCTTTAAATGGAAGGGGGCCACATTAGAAATATTATTGCCATTGACTACTAGAGAAAGAAGGATCCACTTCCCCATGAAGAATTCCAAGAAATAAAGCTAGAGTTCTAATTTTTCTAGTTTCATGTAACTAGAGTCTCATTTCTATTAAAAAGTCTTATTTCTATAAAAACAGAGTATGGGAAGAAAGCAACTTCTTTTTCATCAGACTTCACAGTTCTTCTTTCAAGTAGATTGCTTTGAATTTCTGATGTTTAGCAAACTGTGAAGTTAAGCACATGGCATTCCAATTCTTTAGCAAGCTACTGAGATGTTTGCTGCAGATCAGTTCCAACTCTGGACATTTCACTTGTCCAGCATAGACTTCAGGCCAAAACTGAAAGAAAACAGTGTTGATGGCTTTTTTGACCTTTTACAGATTGCGAAAAGGTATACTCCATAGCACTTGCAAAGAAAGATAAAATCAACTAAGAAACGAGTCTTGCTTCAGAGATGAGTACAGGTTAGCAGGATCCACATGAATAGCTTCAGTTATTTCTCTCAAGTTATACTTAGACAGTTCCAGATATATTATCTGTGGACTTGAGAGCACTCTTTTCTTTCTAGTCTTCAAATGATTTGATGCAATTATGAAGCCAGGATTGGAGAGTGGAACAGAAGCATAAAACTTGAAAATAATTTTTTGGAGCTTTGCTGGGGTCTCTAATGGAGTAGAGCTGAATTGAGGCAGAACAGTTGAGAGAAAGCATTTGAGTTCAGTGTACTCTTGTCTTGCAAAATGCTAGTAGTGTTCAGTTTTGTGAGCTTCCCAAACTATAGAAAGATGCATAGACTTTGAGATTTTGATGCAAAAAATGGCGGCTTTTTGGAAAAGGCATATTAAAATATTTAAACTGTTGCCGTTATTTGAAAATTAGGTGCAATTATCTTACTGATCCTAACAGAGAATTTTGCTAAATAATTGGTGTGCGCAAAATTAAACTATTTAAGAATTCTTTGTATTCCAGTCATGTGACTTCCTCCTTGTTTTGTACTATATGCTGAGAACCTCTTCTGTGTGCTCTTTAGGGATTTACTTAACTAACATTTTGAAAACAGAAGAAGGCAACCCTGAATTTCTAAAGCGACATGGGAAAGAACTCATAAACTTCAGCAAGAGAAGAAAGGTAGCTGAAATAACAGGAGAGATACAGCAGTACCAGAATCAGCCATATTGTTTAAGAGTTGAATTTGACATCAGGGTAAGTAGCATTATTTCGGTGAGTCCATGCACCAAGCTACTTTTGTGGTGACTCTTGTCAGCTGATAGACCCATAAGGATAGACTGAATTCATATAGATTCAATCAGACTGAATCAGAGATGAGCAGAAGGCCTGTCACAAAATGTCTCTCAGGCCTTACTGTAAGAAAGGGCTGAAAGCTCAGTGCTTGCAGCTTGGTGGGTTTGGGTTTTTTCCCCCAGCTATTTGGGTGTTGGTAGATAGATCTTCTTACTGATCAGTGTTAAACAGGAACAGAAACTACTAGATTCTCACTGTCCTTCACTCAGTTGTGTTTATTTGTCCAGCGAGATCAGTTGTCTTTTTCTTCCTCTGTTATACTGCCTTTGTGTTTCCAGGTTTACCTGTTAGCAATGCATTTACATGATGTGTTGGCAGTGATGATGCTCACATTTTTCTTTCTCCTGGCATCTGTTCTCCTTGGTCTGTGGTGTTCTCCAAGTAGTGCTCTTTCTGATTGCTTTCCTTCCATTTCTTTTTTTAAAATATCTTTTGACTTTCAGAGAGTCATAGGACCAGTTATCTTAAAAGATTCTGCAAGATTTTCTTTTGTTATTTGTTTTCCTCAGGGTCTGACAGAATGATGCAGGCTTCCCTGCATCAATCTAAAGATGGACTACATACAGCTGCTTCTGAAGGTCTTTGAGCTAACCTAGTCTGATTTTTGCATTGCAGAAAGTATTTAGTGTGCTTGGACAGTTGGTTTTCAGGCCAAGCATAGCAGTAGCAATGCCCAGCAAAGGGGCAGCAAACAGATTTAATAAATTAAAAATCTATCATTACTTCTGACTCCAGCATTTTCTCTCTTCTCTGGAACGTTTGGGATTATTTGTGCAGTAGAAACAGACAGCACTAAGCTACTAAGAAGTAGCTTAGCTGACAAGTTTTCTACCTTCTTGTATTTCAGAGATTTTTTGAAAACCTGAATCCAATGGGAAACGCCATGGAGACAGAATTTACAGATTATCTGTTCAACAAGTCACTAGAGATAGAGCCACGAAATGTCAAGCCTCCACCACGATTTGTTAGTATTCAATTTATTTTTTTATTTTTTTTAAATGCTTACATTTGTCTTTCACAGATAGCAGAAGTCATTTTAGATCTCTAACTTCATAAATACAAAGCTATATTTAGGTGATCTTGTAGCCTTTTGATTTTGTTTGATATTATCTTTTTGTCATTTCAGCCCAAAAAATACAGCTATCCTCTCAAGTCCCCAGGTGTTCGTCCCTCTAATCCAAGGCCAGGTACCATGAGACATCCTACACCCCTGCAACAGGAGCCAAGGAAAATTAGTTACAGCCGCATCCCAGAGAGTGAGGCTGAAACTACAGCATCTGCACCAAACTCTCCCCGAACACCTTTGACCCCTCCCCCTGCTTCTGCTACTTCAAGTACTACAGATGCCTGCAGTGTGTTTGACTCGGATCCTTCAAGTCCTTTTCATGCAAGTAGGTGCTAATAAATAATCTACCAAGAATGTGTGTGTGAGATTTTTGTGGTGTTAAATAGGTGAAATCATGTTTAGTCTTCTAAAGTGACTATAGAAATAGTTGCTTTTATCTCCTTGCGGTAGCAAAAACTGTGTTTTATTCCTTAATAAAGTACTTTAAAATACTTAATAAAGTAAAATTCCTTACAATAAAAAGTTTTTATTGTAAAGGGAGAAACTGAACAGAATTAGGTGTGTTACATAGAAAGTATTACATGTCTTTGGAGAAACTGTCAAAACAGAAGGCAGAGAGAGAAGGCATCTCTAGTGCCCATATATGTCCCAAACAAACATTTGTGGGATTTGCTGCCATATATATGTGTATACATGTGGTGAATTCGGTGAGTATCTGTTTGATGGTGAACAGTGAGAAGAAAAATTAACATTTTGTGGGTGCCTTACTCTGCTGCCTGCCATTCTGAGTTATTTTCAGGGCACGTGGATGGTTTTCCTGCAGAACTTAAGATCAGTATTTCCCTGCTTTAAATCTGTCAGGACCCATCCACACCTATTTTTCTTCTGTCTTCACCAACATACAAGGAAGCTCATATTTTATGGTGTGCTTTCAGTAATTTGTAATGGACATAGCATCCTTTCATGTATGAGGGTTTTTCAAAGGAAGTACAAGATTAGTCCTGTGTTCAGCTGGTTGCACCAAGGAGGTGAGATGACTTGCTAAAAGCAGAACTTGCTTAGCAGAGCAGTGACATTGCCGAGTGTCTAAGCCAGGTCTCTCGAATACCTCTTCAGAAGAACATATTTCTTCATTGTTGGGTTGGTGCATCAACTGCAGGTTCAGTATATTGTTTTAGTGCTGTTGTGATACAAGAACAACTTTGTGATGTGGTTTTGGTCTTGAGGATTACTTAAGAATATGCAGGAACTGATGGTCACAGAGATGCTTGCAGCTCAGAAAAGCAGTTTGTCCGGAAGCTGCAATTAGAGGTTTGTTTCGTTGTCTGTCTTTAAGACCTTCTTGATTCATGCTGCTTTTTATGAGCAATTATTATTTATGACACCTTTATTAGCAGCAATATACTGTCTCGAACAAAATTTCATCATTATCAGGATTTTTTTTTAATGTCTGCTAGGATCTGCTTCTGTGTCATCCATAACATTTACCAAAAATTCAGATGAAGCTCATGTCCCCCCTCCAGTTCCTCCACGAAGAAGACCAGAGTCTGCCCCAGCTGAATCCTCCCCATCAAAAGTAAGTAAAGATAAAAAAGAGAAGTAAGGAAGGATAAAAAAGGTCATTTTTTCAGGGAGCAGAGGGCAGAGTAAGATAGAAAAATAACTCTTAAAGATAGTACATGTGTTTGTGAAACACATACAGCCATGTATTTCAAGCCTTCACAGCTCTGCCTCGTTATGTCCTGATCCCAAATGAATTAAAATTAACAGGTGGGACCTAAATTTAGGGTTAGAAATGTCTCTTGTAGTGATCTGTTGTGCTCAGGCCCTCACATTGCCTGTGAGGACTTGAGGCTTCAGGCAGATGTTTCCATTTGTGATCATTGTCCCAGAGTGTCATTTTGGGGTGTATCAGTGGGGGTGAAGAACTGAAGAATAGTAATGATGCAAAGTGGTGTACACACCTCAGTCCTCTGAAAAGGTTCATTAGAATACTTGATGCTGATGCTGTGCTGCTCAGTGCTTTCTTTCCCTTCTTGATTACCTGTCCTGTCTGCCTGCCTTCTTGAGCCATTGCTGCATTTTCCTTTTGCATTTGTCTGGCATTTGGAATCTGATCCAGCCTTTGTTGCAGATAGTGTCAAATATTTGTCTCTTGATTTCAGTGGGAGCTGGTTTGTGATTTCAAAGAATTGGGTGGATTTGAAAATGCCACTCAAAATTATTTTGGAGCATGTATGTCTTTGAAGAGGACTCATATGTGGCTCTGCAGCAAGTTGTTGTTTTCAGGCTACAGGTGACTGTGCTGTCAGCCAGCAGAGTTGAACACATCATGTTCCCACCAAAATGGAAAATATGAATTTTTCCACCAAAATATGATGGAAACCATCATATATTTGATAGGGTGTCGAAGACTAGTTACCCTGTCACTGTGGTCTGCAGCTTGGGAACTGTTCAATTCAATAATTCTGACTACTTAATTCCATCTTCTGAGCATAGTTTATTTTTTTCTCTGTTCAGCATCATCTGCCTCTCCCTTTTCTTCATTTTCTTGGAGAGGTATCTGGTGTTATTACCCACCACAAGTGCTTGCTGTTGGAGAGGTGGTGGAACAAACCCAGCAACCAGACCTGGAACTAGCATGGAAATTGTCGCTTTGACCATTCTTTGCCTTGCCTTTGTCCCTCTCTGTGCATCTCCATTCCTTCGATCCTTGGCTGTTAACTCATGTATTGATATACCCCTGCTCTCCCCCTCTACATCCAGGCTCTGTCTTTTCTGTCCACATCACTCTCAGAAACATGGTTTTTGAGCATCGCCACTCCCTTTTGCATCCTTACTCCCCATCTTCATTCTGCACCTGCTTACTGTGCCTCCTCTTTAACTGGACAAGAGCAATCTGCAGGGCAGGAGTTCTGCTTCCATTTTGTGGCAGGGTCCTGTTCTTTACCGCCACTTTTAAATTTTATTGAATGAAATCTTTGTGTATCTCAGATTACTTCTGCGCACCTGGACAGCCCACCAGCAATCCCTCCTAGGCAACCAACCTCTAAAGTGTATTCACCAAGGTACTCTGTGCCTGACCGGACCTGCATCTCTGATCCCCCTGAAAGCCCTCCTGTCTTACCACCACGAGAACCTGTGCGAACTCCAGATGTTTTCTCTAGCTCACCACTACACCTCCAACCTCCACCACTGGGGAGAAAAAGTGAACTTGGTAACACCTTTTTCCCAAACAGTCCATCTCCGTTTACTCCCCCTCCCCCTCAGACACCTTCTCCACATGTAGCACGGAGGCATCTTCCATCACCACCTTTGATACCACAAGATGTGGACCTCCATTCTGTTGCTGGACCACCTGTTCCTCCACGACAAAGCACTTCTCAACATATCCCAAAGCTTCCTCCAAAAACTTATAAAAGGGAGCACACACACCCATCGATGCATCGAGACGGACCACCGTTGCTGGAGAATGCCCACTCCTCCTGAACTGTCCCTTGCTCTGGGAGTCGCGTTTTCCTGGTGCTACGTCTGTTGCTGGCAATGGATGCACTGAACCTGGTGGTGCCAAGGAGTTGGGATGTGTATGCCAAACACTAAAAACTCTACAATAGATTGGAAATGCAGTGTACAGAAACGGAATTGCAAAAACAGACATTCTAGTGGAAAAACCGGTTAACTTGCTATTATTGTTTTGGTATGCAGGACATTGTTCTAAAGTAATTGGACAACTGATTGTACCAGAAAACAGACTTGAGAGACTTCTTTGGCCAATGAGCAGAGACTGTGTTTGTGTAATGATAATAATGTCCAGTACAGGAAGGAAAACAGTCTTGTATCCATCAGTTCCATACAGTGGCACAGTTTTTGGAATGAAAACATTATGCACTTTTTTAAAAATCTCAAACAGGGAACTTTATATCCTTCTTAATTTTCCTTTGCTTTACTCCCTGCTTTAAAATACCTTCCTAAAATTATGAGAAGGACTGTGAGGAAGATCTGTGGTACCTAACCAAGCTAGAATTAAGGCAAAGCACTGTATTGCGGTCCTGTTTACAAGTTGTTACAATGAGTAGTAAGGGGTACCTAGGCTTCACCAAAGAGGTACTTTATTATTATTTTCTGAAATATTATGGTGCCAGTTCAAAAATAAATTTTTGCCAGGAAGCATAATGTCTAATTATTGCTTTCTTTACATAGAGCAGATGAAGTCTTACATCATTAAGATGACAGCGATTTTTTATTTTTTTTTTTTTAAAAGCAGCACTATCATCCAAAGTAAATATACTGCTACATTTAAAAGACTGCTAGATTATGTCACATTCTTTTTAAGGTTTACTGATAATCCATTTCATGGCTAGTAGTTATTCTTTTTCAGTTATGCCATGAAAACAATCACTTGTGAAAAGGAGCACTCACTGGTCAACTTCCATAGATATTATCGTATTTTACTAACAATAGATTAATCAGCGTACATAGAATTGCCTTGCAGTTGCATAAATCATGTGTATATAGTGAACGTTGCATAAATATACTTGCAGATTGTTTTTAATTTAATTGAAATAAAGATACAGATGTGTTTGGCTGACATGTTAAATTATTACATGGACAAATGTGCAACTCAGTTTTTCAGTTAAGCGCTGGAGGGCATGAAAGCACATGTTGTGGTACATATTTTTCCTAGTTCAGTGTATGTATTTTAGTAGTAAGAGACTAAAGAGAAATCAATTTTGGCATTTGTTACAAAGTAATATTTTAGTAATATTTGAAAAGCTAGGTTACTCCCAAAGTGAATTATTATACATTATAAAACTTCTTACACCTCCTATATGACATTTGTTAGAAAAATTCAAACTTAAATTAATCTTTACAGTAGCTTTCTATGTCCAAAACACACGTGACAGCACATGTACTGGTGTAAGTATCATGACATGGATTATCCATAAACCTGTGTACTGCTCTTCAACGCTAGACAATTCTGTGACAGTAATGCATGGCAGTTATTGAAGAAAAGAAGCTCTGTAATCTCCACTAGAGTATGTACGCAAAGTGTGAAGTATCTCATCTTCAGTTAATATGGCTCATGAGTCAAAGTAAAATCACATTTCCTCTTTGGATGAAGAATACTTTTCAACGTCTTGGAAAGATGTGTCATTAGATAGTGTTAGTTGAATGATGATGGAAATCACCTTTTTTAATGCTTTCTGCAATGCCATTGATCAGTGCCCCTTGATCCTTTAGTGTGGTCATTTCATTTCAGAAAGTGTTCTGATTTCATTGGCAAGAGCGGTGTTTTTCATCACAATCAAATGTTGAAATTTGTCAGTTGTATTCCTTCTTTGATGTCTTTAACAATATTGTTTTAAAACATTTTCCTGGCAAAAGAAGAAAAAGCGAAGCTTTCTAAACCTTGGTTTCAGAGGAAAGCATTATATGGGAGTTTGTAGAAGCCCTTAAGCTACAGGAGGGTGTAGCTTAGGTTATCCATTCTTTGGCTATAAAGACCATGATGGGCATACTGTTGGCAATGTCATCCAAAATATTAGCTTGCCAATGGATTACCAGGGAAAACTCCTTAAATTTAGACTTTCTGTTCTGTATGTCGTTTTCTGCACACTCTTGTCTGTGCTATTTTGGAGCCAAGGCAGACCAAGCAGAAGGAATGATCCAGTGGTTAGGTTGCTCAGCTAGAAGGAGACCTCACATGGATCCTGCTAATCAACAGATTTCTTGAATGTCATTAGGTCTCTGTTTACCTTTGTGAAATGGGGGATGCTGTTTTGTGTCTTTGTGGTTGAGGATAAAAGTCCTTTACTGGTGAGATATTTGGACAACAGGTGATAATGGTCACCATGCAAGAACCTAACTGAAATGTGCTTTGGAGCGTAACAGAATGGGTCAGTCATACAGTGCACAAAATCATGGTGTTGACTCAGCTGCAAACAGGATGAATGACAGGATGAGAATCAAACCTGTTGCATTTACAATAGAAAGGAAAGAATGGACCTGTTGGAGCGGGTTTGGAGGAGGGCCACAAAAATGATCAGAGGGATGGAACACCTCTCCTGTGAGGAAAGGCTGAGAGTTCAGGTGGTTCAGCCTGGAGGAGAGAAGGCTCTGGGGAGACCTTATTGCAGCCTTCCAGGAGTTAAAGGGGGCTTATAAGAAAGATAGGGACAGACTTTTTAGCAGGGCCTGTTGCAATAGGAGAAGGGGTAATGGTTTTAAACTCAAAGAGGGTAGATTTAGACTAGGTATAAGGAAGAAATTTTTGACAATGAGGGTGGTGAAACACTGGAACAGGTTGCCCAGAGAGGTGGTAGATGCCCCATCCCTGAAAACACTGCAGGTCAGGTTGGAGGTGGCTCTGAGCAACCTGATCTAGTTGAACATGCACCTGCTCATTGCAGGTGGAGTTGGATTAGATGACCTTTAAAGGTCCCTTCCAAGCCAAACTGTTCACAGAATCATATTCTGTGGTTTTGCAAGTGTCATGCATTTACTTCTGTTCAGCATGCTGTATGGTAAGTCAGCTGTTGTGCTGCCTGGTGACAGCAGTTACATGCTGTTGTCATGACATTCAGCAGTCCAGGCAAAGTTTCTCTATAACTGTCTGCTAACAGAGAACATTATCCTTCTTCAGGATCGATACTGTGGAAGCATTTGAACGCTCCATCCACAAGAAGCCATCTCCAGTGTGGGCTAACCTGTTTCTCTAATATGCCCCTCTCTTAAATCGGGGAGGGAGAGGTCTGTCTCGGAGTATGTTTATGCTAATGCACTGGATTTAGATCCTTCAAGATTTAGATTGACATTGTGGGATGTTTAATTATTTTTCTTTTGCATGTATCTTAAATTGGACTTTCTGTTTAATTGGGTGATGTCACTGGAGGTACCACTATTGAAGGTAGCAGAGTACTGTGATTCAGGGAGAAGGTTTTATTTTTTTACATACAAGGAAGTTTCTTTCCAGCCTGAAGAGGTGCTAGAACAAATTTGCATTGCAGCAGGCTGTGTGGCAACACTAGTGCATTATAATAAGCGTCAGTTCCCTTCTTTGTGGCTGCTGTCTCAACCTTGTGTCACATTTTACAGCGGCAGGCTCTACTACTAGTATTTCTAGCATTGCTGCAATTTAAGCTTAACTAGAAAGAGCCCCTCATTCATGAATGTTTGTCTTACAAATTATATGAAAGTTAAAGTGTTGCTTAATGTTTTGCTGCTGTGAGCAGTGCAATTAGCTGCAGTATGTAAAAGTCCCTCCTTGACTTTCTCTTTTCTGCCTTTTCCAGCCAGCAAGGAGGGACTTTTTAATATAATCTTAAACCAGTTTTTTTTTTTAACAAGTTTGCAAATTCTTATGGGTTCTCCTCTCCACCTCAAAATACCCTTTCTTAGTTGTTGAATTGTCATTTCAAAACCTAGATGATGCATGGGCTGAAGCCTTTTTAGTTCTTATTCATTAAGGAGAGAAACCTGTGGCCCAATATAATTGTAAAAAGAAAAGCACTTTTAACTTTGTAAATTTCATGCCTTATTTTCCATTTAAAAAAAAACACCCTTAAGTGCATTTTTCTGTCCACTATTAGCAAATTTTACTTTTACCTTCAGTGGAAAATAGTGCATTAAGTGGCCAACTGCTGCAGCATTATAAGGCAAACGAAGTAAAGAGTAAATCACTTTTTGTTTTACTTTCTAGCCAGCAAATGTGAAGTCCTGTACTGGGTGGCTGAAAAGTTGAAAGGGAAAAATGAAGTTAAATAAAATGAAATAAAATAAAATAGCATATGCAGATGCACGACAATTTTAGTAGCTGCCAAATGTGCCTTTTATCAAAGAACATCTGTAATATTTTTAAAAAGAAAGGTAGACAAAGGTAGATGATCAGGGTGTTCATATTGCTGGAATTGCTTTGGACAAATTTTTTCACATCTACTTCAGAATAAACCTTTTTATGTTCGTGAAAAGAACAAATTTTAGGTTCCAGTAAGTTTGTTCCAGTGTGTGCATTTGCCTTTGATGGCATGGTTACTTGCCAAAATGAGTAAATGTTAAAAGCTATGTCAGTCCAATTGTAAAAATTAAAAAAAAAAAAAAAAAAACAACAGAGAAAGAGAATTGGTAAACTTTAGCTGGCACATCTGGTGGCCAGTGCACGTAACTGTCTGTAGGTGATCTTTGTATGCTGTGTCTGCAGTGGTATTCAGATTGCATTTAAGTGAAAACTTAATAGTGGCTGTTACCTTTTGGCATTAACAGATATGTTCTAAAAATAAAGTAAATAAAAAAGCCCTAGAAATCCAGGAAGTGTACACTTTTGAATATGTAAGATACACTGAAAGTTCTTGTCTGAGACTTGCTTCCTTAAGCTTAAATACTGTGTGCTTTATATTAAGGACAATCACGAGTCCGACACAGATATAGTAAAACACTAAAAGACACAGTAGCTTGTGAGCAGAGGAACTATATGGGGTAGGAGACAAGTAAACAAGGTATACGTATAGTAGGGGACACAAAATAGCATCTTTTAACTGTGCTGTTCTCTGCCACGGGATCATTAATTATAGGTGTTACTCCAGCTCTGTGGCTTTCTGTTACAACTTACTGCATCAAATGATCTGCAGTCTATGGGTAAATACTGTCTCTTGAATTTTACTGTATGAATTTTTTAGGTAGTTAATTTCTTATAAGAGCTTACATCTCCTTGTTGAATCAGATCACAGTAAATAAAGGGACATTATGTTTAATATCTCATCTTGCAACAGGCAAAACATTTGCTTTCGAAGAACAGAGTGAATAAATGAAAACCACTCACAAGTAGAAACTGCTTAATATTCACGGTAGCCTCCTCCATCTAATCCACCCCACAAAACCAAACAGTGGCCAAAGACCATGCAATGCATGCCCCAGTTCCTCTCCTGTTTAGGCAGGAGCAAGGGGCCCTAACAACTTTGTGGAGAGTTTGGAAAAAGCAACTAGATTCCTTGGAACCTGTTGAAATGTTTTTTGCCCTTACTGAGGAACATTTGTACTTGTACATGACTTGTATTGAGGTGAAAATACTCTAAGAACTTGTAGAATAATCTAGGATACATTGCAACTCTGGGGGAAAAAAAAGCAGGAGAAAGTGCCTAAATTATATAAACTAGAAGTAGCCTCAGTTATGCTGGCTTAGAGGAACGAAGTGGTGAGAGGATACATTTGAGCAGCACTGAAAGTCAAAGTTACCCACCCATAATCTGAGGAGAGTCTAGGGTGGCTGACTTAAGCAGGGAGTATAACCATGGATCTAGAATAGGCACAGCCATGATGACAGCATGTCCTGTTGGGGACTGTCTCAGGCGGTGGCAGTTCCCCAGCAACTAGCTGGTAGGCATGTTCTGCATCCATGTGATTGAAAGGGATTTGGGAAGGAAACACCCCAGTAGATTTGCACAGGAGTAAAACTACATTTGGGCTGATGATGCAAAACTCTACTGGCATTCTCTAATCTCTGAGACTGCGGTCCTCAAATGACACAACCCTACAAGGAGCTACAGAACAGTAGGAGGAATGCTATATGTACTTGCAGGTGCCGTGTGGTACAGGGAGTTCTGAGCACCAAGGGCTGAGTTGTCCCTGTTTGTGGTGTCATTGATTTGGACTTGCTGAGAATGTGGCAAAGGTAAGATAGTGTTGATAATCAGAACTGAAATTAAATTTTTAAAAGAACTTGGTATGTGACAGACACTTGTGGTATACAGGAAGATACTAAGATCTTTTACAGAGTTGAATAGTTGAAATCACAGTGATGTGTATGTTCAGTTGAAGGGGCTCATGGAATTTTTTCTGTGGAGGTTCATGTGTCTAACAGAAGCAGCAGAAGGAGTAAAGGACATGGGCGAAGGAGCTGAAGAAATGTCACGGTGAGCTGCACCAACAACAGGACCTTGACCAGAAGCCTATAGAGTGAGTCATCTGAGTGCTGAGTAGGAGTCTTGGAACCAGGTGTATGGAAGCATTCTTCTCACATGACTGTGTGTGCAGGGGAACAGGATTTTGTAAGTAATGTTGCCTCAGAAAGGGACCTGAGAAATGTGTTTTTTCTTTTAATGGATGCAACTTCATGGCTGATTCAGTGCAAAAGAGACAACAGCGTTATTTAAAAGCAACATTTATTTGGCACAGGAAGAAAAATAATCCAGAGCACACATGTACACTAAAGGTGAAGTTGGATTGGATCCTGCAAGAGGTTGTGTGTTTCTGTGTGGTGCTGAGCATCATTTATTCACTTTATTTACATTCGCAGGTTCTGAGCAGGTACAAGGACATCTCAAATGATAAGTATAGGTCTGGAAGTAAGAACCCATACAGGATCAGAAAGAAATAACCATCAATTCTGACCATGCCTTAAATCACTAAACAGAAGCTGAAATCCACATGCATTTTACAAGCAAGGGTCTGCCACTTTGGAAGGATTTCCTCGCAATGTGAGCAGGTTAGGATGTTAGCAGGTAGGTTTTCCCCTTTGTCCTGTTTCTGTACTGGCATCTGCCTGGCAAGTGTGAGGCGCAAGTTTGTTTTATGAAGGATAGAAGCGTTGCTGTATATGACACCAAAGAAACAAGCATTAGAGCCCTTGACAGCATCAGTGCATTACAGTGGAAACTCATCCATACTGATGTAACCTTGGTTCCATGGACAAACAAATAGGTCTGTCTATGGCTGATTCCTTTGCAGAACAAACAGGCTTTGCTGATGCTTCCGTTACAAGTGTCTGGCGCTTCTTACATATTTCTATCCTGGCCCTGCACTGGTCTGACTGAAAGCTGTGAAGTCCTAGGAAGTGTCTTTGTGATGCAGTGGCTGGTCAGTGTTGAGCAGTTTTGTCTGGGAAGGGCCAGGGAATTAGTAATTTAATGAGGATGCGAGGGAGAAGGAAAGAGATGGAAGGGGTTTTTGTCATTAAAAATGTTAAATTAAAAAAAATCTTCCCAGAGTAGTTTCCAAAACATTTTAATCTCTGGGGTTTTGCTTGGTCACTTTCTTGAAATGTTGGGAAAACTTTGATTGAGATAAAGGATGGATTTTTTCTGTCTTAGGTGGATAACCCTTCTCACATACACCTCTGCCTCCACCATAGGAGGAAAATCAGGTGGTAGATGCAGGTCAGTTGACACTATGGGAGAGCTGTAGGCCCTGTGTCTGCAGTGGGTGTTAGCTAGTGCAGCCAAGGACACCTGCTCTGGGCCCTCCCCATACCGTTGCAACTGCCAGAAGAGCTATGCAGCATGATGGGTGCTCTTCTCTTGGCACTAGATTCAGTCACCCTTGCACTGGTGTTGGAGTCCCAAGGCCCTAATCTCACAGCCTTGCACATTTCCCCTGAGATGTTCACAACCTTTTCAGGTGAAGTTGTTCTATATGACAGACCAGTGTCCCAACCCTGCCAAAATATGGTAATAAAACCACGTTTCCTCTTGAAACTGCCCCCAGTGTGCCCCAATTTCAGCTAACACCACAGCCCTGTACCAATGGTGCTCTTGCTGCTGGGATGTGACATGGATATCACACCAGAGGGCCGTGTTTCTCTCCATGCTTCCTTTTTAACAAAAGCTATAGTCCTCTGCATAGAACAGCATTACCTAGAGTTTGTCATGTTGAGATGTGAGGAGGGTGGCATGTGTGTGGCGTTGTTGTGGAAGGAAGAGCATTGTTGCACAAGAAGAAGGGCTTGTGACTTTCAACACAGGGCACCATCGACTTCCCTGCCCTAGTGCCATAATTTTAGCTAGAACTGCTCCAAAGCAGGGTGCTGCACGTGATGTGGCTTCTAAGGTGGTGTCAGGCCAAAGACAGTTAATAAAGAGTATTTCAAGTGTATTACAGACCAGGAGGCAGGATACTGGTTGACTGTGTTGGTGTCTGCATCAAGTGGGGATAGGGTGGAGGAGAGTTTTTGTCTCCTGTGGCAGGCCCTGGGCTCAGCCTGCACCACCTGCCTGGAGACACAAGGCAATTCTGACAGCAAGAGCAGCGATTCGTACAGCAGGAGACAGTTCAAGAAGCAGCATGCTGCGTAAAAGATGAAGGAGGATTTTGGGGAGTGGTGGAAGTCCAAAAGAAAGGATACTGCTAAGCAGTACAAAACCCAGGTGCTTCATCTGATGCTTATTAGACCTTCTCAAACCAGCAGGATAATGTGAGCTGGCTTCCTGTAAGACATCTTTGATGGTGGTTTTTCTTTGGAAAGTGGAAAGAGGGGAATTTCAGACTTCCATCCAGGATGCCAAGGCTGCAAAGGTAGCCCCTCTGTTATGGGTGAGCCCAAATTAGACCTGGCTTGAATTTGGAAGAGGAAAAATGTATGGCAAATCAAGCAGTGTAGGGGGATGAAGGGGAGGAGAAGATAATGGGATTCGGCCAAAGCTTTCCAAAACTCTGAGGAAAGTTAAGTCAGGCCAGGGTGAAAAGCAAGTTCCTGTGCTTATTGGACCTGCTGGCTGAGCTCCACTTCAACCCATAGCCCGGCCCTGCCCTGTGCTAGGAAGGGCAGGATGTGTACATAAGGCAGTTGTGACAGTCTCCTCTCCCCCACCCCTCTGCCTACTGTGTTAGTCAGGGGAGATCTTGGGGCCTTGCTGTCTGTCTCCACCCACAGGGATCTGGGGAAGCACTGTTGCGCTTAGGCTGTGGCCTGCCTTTCTTGGGGCTGCTTATTTCTTTTTGAAGAGCTTGCGGAAGGAGCTCCGGAAACCCCCCTTGGGCTCGTGCCGTGGGTTGTGGTCGCTGAAGGATGTTTGCTCATTGTCATCCTTCTGGCAGAACCTGGTGTTGTCTTCTGCATGGAGCTCCTAAAAGGGAAAAGACAATTTAACCAGCATTTGCAACCTCACATCCTTGTCCCTCTCTCCCTCTCTCTCTCCCTCTCTCTGCTGGGGGCGACCTGGTGGGTGAGGAGGTGCTGGCAAGGCTGGGAGACAACAGGTCACACTGACCTTGGCAGCACTGGTACCTCTGCAGAGAGCTTGTTGCTGGCTCTGAGACTGAGGCAGTGGCAGAAGAGTGGAAGGAAAAGCATTGTTAGAGGGAACTGGAGCCTTCCTTGCTAAGATTTTGTTTAGAGGGAGCTTACTAGCCCCTTTTGCCAATGAGGGAGCAAGCCAGCATGGATAGCTGAAGGCAATTCCCACCCTCTTCTTGCTAATGAGCTCTGTTTACCCTAGGGCAGGGAGGCTTCAGGCTTCTTGAGCTGATATGGTGTGAAAGACTCTTCTGTTGGCTCTGCTGCTGCCTGGTTTTATATCTGTGGGGCAGAAGGCTTCATTAGCACACACACACCTTGTGGTAAATGTGCCACTAAAAGATCTCTCCCCCTGTCAGGAGTGTGCTGAGTTCCTCTCAGCAAGGCTTGGGCCAAGTGCCTTTTCTCCAGTTCTGCCCACCCCTGCCATGGTGGTCTCTCTTGCTCTGTGAGGGAGAACATGTCCTGCAGTTCTGGACTAGCTCCACATCTGCACCGTGCTGTGGGCCACAGCTCACAGGCTCCTGTTTCGGGGAGCAGGGCTGTGTCCCCATGGTACTTCTCCCTCTGCCTCATCTCCCCTGCTCAGCTATCCACCACCTCCTTCACTCACTAGGCTTTTTTCTGTCTTTTCTTTCGAGGTTTTCTTGGTGCCTTTTCAGTCGGGCTGTTGGAACCTTCCTCCCATCATCATCTGCATCTACAGCCTCATCTGCATCTTGCCTGATTTTAACAGGAGGGTGTTTCTGCAGGCAGCACTGAGAGCACTTTCTAAGCACCTCACAAGCACCCTTGGCCTCTTGCCCAGGAAGTGTGAAGGGCATGTTCCCCCCTGACTGTGACAGCTCAAATCTGACTCTGAACAGGCACTGCAGGCTACAGAAACATGTTCCTGCAAGACTTGGTGTCCCTGAAGGGCTAGAGTACTGCCTGTCATGCCAGTGGTTGTCTGAGAGTTGCTGGACTCTCTCTGTTTTCACACAGACTTTAGCATGGTTCTATGATCCATGCAACAAACACAGGTGAAACAAAATCGATGGACCAGATCCTTGCTGCTGTAAACAGGCTGAGTTCAGCCAAGTTGTGCTGGTTTACACGGGCTGAGGATCTGATACTAAATCCATTGGTTTTCTTAACCCAGCACTCCTCACAGCAAGTGTCAAGGCACCTTTTTAACTCGATGCCACCCTATGGAGCTAATTTCAAACAACTTTGTGCATACTTAGTGACCCTGATCAGATACAACGTTTACTTGTGGGGAAGCTCAGTGACAGAGACACGCAAGAGGCTAGCTTGTCTTAAGGGTGTTCTAGCTGCTACTCAGCCAGCTGTGTGCCTCAAGCCCATGCTTGTCTGTGGGGAAGCTGTGTGTGAAAAGGAGCTGTCTTGTCCCTCCCTTGGGCGTGTATTTGCAGATGAGGACTTTGAATGTGTGGACTTAGAAGCTATTTTGGCATGTTCTGCCCTAACCGTATCTCAGATCTTTTTCCTGCTGCTGCTTCTGCACCACCACGTGCCTTTTTTTTTTTTTTTCCTCCTATTTAAGCCTCCTTACTTCCAAAAAGCTCTGTTTTTCACCCGCTCCTCTCTGTGGGGGGAAGTAGCTCCTTTGGGAGCTTCGAGATGAAGCTGAGATCATGTGAGGCTGGACACTCCTCTCCTGCTTCTGCTGCAGCCGGCTCCCACTGCTGCTCCGTGTGCTGTAGAGTCTGGTGTTCATGCCCTCAGCGCTTCTTGGCAGCTCCTTCAGAGACCTGCTCAGCTGCTTGCCTTTGCTGTGGAACATCTCACGCTTGTAAGTACTGCTGCTTACGGGAGTGCAGCTTTTAGGCAGTGGCTGTAAGGCATGATCTGTCCTCTCTGGTTCTGATGTGAAGTTGACAGGCCTAAGGAAGCAAATGTCTAAGCTGGACTCGGAAGAGGCTGGGGAGCAATTCTCAAATAGAGCGAGGTTTTGGAAGGCATCATCTTCATAGGGGCCTGGCAGGGTGAAAACCTCCCCAGGGTAGTCAAACTCTTCGTAGCTTGGTGCAAAGTTCCTTGCATCCTGCAGCAGCTCCACAGAGGTCCTGATGGCTCTCTCGGCATTTCCCACCGCATCAGCCGGTGGTGCTTCATACTCCATTTCAGGGATGGATTGTAAGGGAGCTGTCAGAGCCTTGAGTTCCTGCTCTGTGATCTGAGAGGATGCAAGGATGTTCTCTGGCCTCTCATGTTTTCTACTTTCCATTTCCCAGTCAGGGGGCTTTACAGCCTGGATGTTCTCCATTACAGTTGGCTGGGGCTTCTTCATCTGGGGCATCAAATGCCTTAAAAATAAGAAAACAAAACAAAAAACCAGAAGTGGAATACTAGAGGATGACCGAGAGACAGCATGACAAGCCCCCTGCCCCTTTGCTCCCCCAGCCCCATTCTCTTAAGGCCAAAAGATATTTTCATATCTTGGAGAACAGTAACAGGTGCCACTAATAGAAATTGCCTGTCTGGGTTAACAGGAGCAAACTTGCAGAGGTAGAACTGCTTATCCAATAGCTTTAGTTGACTTTTGTACTCTACACCATGAAATTAATAGAAACAGTGATGAGAAGCCAACTGTTCCATCTCTCTGCTGTTCATCTGCATTTTTGATTTTTACTTTCCTTCTCTTTCTGTAATGTAGGTGCTGTGTCTTACTTTCCTGTGGTCCGATTGTCTTTTCAGGTGGACAAGGTTCCTCTCTTGGATAGGGTAACTCTGTTCCCAGAATTGTGTCAGGAATACTTGGAGGGCTCCTACCCTCCATGTGTTCCAGGTAAGTCAGCAGAGAGTACTGCATTGGATGAGGTATTAGGTGCAGGGTGTGCACCTCCATGGCCCTTAATGAACAATAGTTAAAGTGTTCCACTGCCATCCTCTGGGGACTTAATGAATGGAGTGAATTCAATGACATGCTGTGTGGAAAAGTACTGGTTTTGCTAGTCTGAGACCTTGGCCATGTTTCCCAGCTCTTGTAATGTTGACAGTGAATAATGCAGAGTGTTACTATACACACTGCTGCCAGGTCTACACAAACACATGTCCTCTAGTACACTGTTAAGACAGCTAGCAAAAGCATTGACAGCTCTGAAATGTTTCCTTCTTGTAAGCCACATGGTAGTGGATAGCAGAAAGGAGCCAGCCCTTCATCTCTTTATGTGTACACAGGGAGCAGTCTTAGAAATGACAGTCTGTAACTGCCCATAATAGTATGGGGAGGAGAGTTTTCAGCCTACTTTGAAAGCCTTCTACTAGGACAAAAGGCTTACGGGGTTGTCGTGCCAGAGGAAGGTGCTGGTGGGAATGACTGTATTGTCTCTTCGGAGTGGATCCCACTGTCCCGGATAGATGTTGCGCTGGGTGTTGGCGAAACCTCTTGGCTCGTACACTGGGAGGTGAGACCTTTGTACAGCTTCACCAGGGATGACCTGAGGGAGGAGAAATCCATCGTCGTGCTAAGAAATAAGGCAGGGAATGAGCACGAGCATGTAGAATCACAGAAAACAGGGCTGGGAGGTACCTTAATATTCCTGTTCACCTCTTCTCACCCCAAGGAAGGACCTGTTCTACCTAGTCTGTTCCAGTCAGCAGGGCATCCTGCTTTCTGTCCTGTTCTTAATGCCTTTCCTGATGGTAGTCACTCCCCAGAAGTCTGCTCCAGCCCTTTATCACCCTCCATATTTGGAAGCTTCCCTTGAAGTTTGATCTTGTCCCCCAGGGAATCATCACAAAGAGCAAAGGTAGCCAGATTTTTATTTTAGTAAGAAGTCTTGATTTCAAGGAACTTTTCTGAACCACAACTTGAGAATCTACATTCAGAGTAATTTCTATCACAGTTCATCTCAAACAGGTTTTGGGAGACTTTTGTGTCTCCCATGCCAGCTCCCCCAGTAAAATAAGATAACTATTTTTTCTCAATCTTAGCCTCTGACGCCTTCAGGCAACAGTCTTGGCATTCACCAGGGCCCTGAGCTGCCAAAGCAGCTAAGCCCCCATGTATTCTTCAAATATATCTCTTGAATATTCCTGTGAAGCATGTGACTGCTATGTTTAGAAGGATTAAGCTGATTTTCCTCTCATTCTTAGAGGTAGAGAGAAGGGCCCACCCCAAATCTGACCTCAGTTTGGAGAACAAATGCCAATAGTGGGCCTTCTCCAGCATTCATATGCAAAGGGATTTGTTTTATCTCAACGGAGCTATGTGCCTGTTCATCTTGCACTAAATCCTCTATTTCCGGGCTTCCCCCACACCTCCCTTTCCCTGGTGATAGAGAGAATGAGCTGATGTTGTGCTTACTTCTTCAGCTTTTTCCTCTTCTGTATAAGCAGGTCTTCATTGCATTGGAAGAGGAGGCTATAGTGTGAGATGAAAACCCGGAGGCGCTGCACACACACCAGCAGCAGGTAATAGTCAGGATGCTCTTGCTCCGTGAACTTCAGGACATTCTGGGGCACAGAGGAGAGCAGGCTGTTTGGAGGGTGTCCTAACGCTTTCTGAGGAGAAAGTGCTATTGGGACCATGGATTAGTGCTCTGGAGTGCCCATGGCACTGCCTTGTGGGAGCACGGTGGGAGCTCTTCTATGCAGCACCGGTTTCTGCGGGACTTGGTCGGGGCCTGCCTCCTACTGCTCCAGTGCAAATACACAAGTAACCACTGTAAATGTAATCACAGGGTGTGTGGGTGATGCACTGGTTGAGTTTGGCATTGGATAAATAAACCAATCTCTTGTTTTGTAGGGCTTGTTTTCTGTGTCATTTGCCGTGTCTGAAATGTTTTAGTACAATCCTCCTGTGAACCAGAACTCTTTTTATCAGCAAGCTCTGTGTAGGAAAGGTTGTTAGGCCCTAGGAGCCTCTAGCCCTCTCGGTCTCTCAGCTAACAGGCATGTTGACCACTCAGCAGAGAGGCCAGCTCTGTTACGGCGGGAGTTAGGTCAGAGCTCACAATAGATGTGCCCCATCTCTTGGCCTCCTGTTCTCCCAGAGCAGCACGCAGCAGAGTTTTTGGCTTCCTGGGGGACAAAAGTTGTTTCTGTCAGGCCAAATGGAGAAACTGGCAAATGGAAGCAAGCTTCAGGTGAAAATTATTAAAATTAAGCCATTCTCAGCTGGCTTTCCCTTTCAAAGGTTTTTTTCCAGAGGCCCCACTGGGTTAGCCAGAAGCCTTGTATCCGTACAGCCCTGAATACCAGCTCTGAGTTAAAAGTAACGTGTTGTGATAAGAGTTCAACAAGGCAGTTTCTATCCTGTGGCCCTACCTGTAGATGAATAAGGTATTCAGGGATTCGCTGGACTATATGGAAGAACAGAATGTAGAGATCAGACTTGATTTCTTCTTCTACCTGAAATAGAGAAAGCAATTTCAGAGTCTCTCCTACCCATAAAACACATCTGCTGCCAAATGGTTCTGGGGTTTAATGAGTAGTTATGCTGTAACTAGTTGTTAGTTATTGTTGTTACTTATGCTGTAAGTAGTTATAACAGTTCACAGGAGCACGCCAGTCAAGTGGCAGTTGTATGTGACAATACACTGGTCTTCATCTTGCTTCTGGAAGGGATGTTTGCAACTCCTTCCACCAGCAATACCAGTCCTAAGGATTAAATTCCTTATGTTAGGGATTATCTACAAGGGACACACAGCCTAATGAAGTAGGGGTGTATGTTTAAAGTGCACTAGTTAAGTTTCATGAAACCCCAGGTAGATACTGTTGTTTCAGAATGAAGTTCTTAGTTTAGGCCCAAATGAATTGAGCAAAATGAGACTGACTTCTAAATTAAGATATCTTGGAAGTGAGCTAGTGTGGTTTAGTTATTTCCCTTTATAAACCACCTTTATATTTAACTTTCCTAGTTTAATCTAAGAATCAAGGGTGTGAGACCAAATACCTGAAGCTGAACAGTAAAGACTCTTTTCTCTCTAAAGTACTTACAGGCCCCTTCTTGGTCTCCCTGTTTGGATAAGTCCTCCATTTTTCAGGAGACACCATGTGCCTGGGACAAGTCTGGATAGCATGTGCATAAGCAAGCTATCTGGGAGGTTTGAGCTGAGACTTTATTTCATGTCACAGCAGAAATATAACTTTGGCCACACACAGTGATGAACATGTTAAAGCTGTCTCTTGTAGGTGCATGTCAGCCATGGCAACATTCGGGAAACTGGCATTTGGTAACAGAACAAGTGGATTGGCAGAAGAGTCCTATCATGGGCAGGCATAACAGGAAGAGATCCAGGCTTGCATGGTGCCATTACATGTCTGTGAAGCAGGCAGGAAGTTTACCTCCTTCAGGATCACCACGTGGATCAGAGAGATGCATTCTGGCAGGTCCCTCAGGTAAGCAACATAGTAGTCCAGAAAATTGTTCTTACAAAAGGAAAAAAGAAAAGAATGAAGAAACTTAAGAGAGATTTTTGGTTATAGGGCCAGCCAGAACAAGAAGCTGCTGATTCCCCACCATCACTCCTGGGAGCTCATCAGCGCAACAGAGCTGCTACCTGTGTGAAGCTTTCAGGGCTTGGGACTTCTCAAGAAAGGCTGTTTTATAAGATGTGTTCAGCTGTTGAGCACAGTGTATAAACCTTTATAGCGGATAGGAGGGAAGATTTCTTATTATTTCTTTCTTATTCAAGACTCTTAAAGTTTATAAAGCATCAGATAAGCTTTTAAACATCCTTCCAGGAGAGCTCCTGCTGCTCGCCAGGGGTTGGGCAGACCTTCACCTTGAGAAGGAGGTGCTGTTTTACTTGGGGCTACAAACCATATAGGATAAGGGGCCTGCCCACCTGCTTGTTATAACTCTGAGCAAAGTGTATTGGGGAAGGGGAGCATAAGAAACATGCTCTTTTCACATCCTCACTGTGAATACAGGCATCCAAGCTGTCAAAGCTCATGTGTGGCTCCTGCAACCAAGTCTAGGTCTTGTGCACTTATTGTAGAATCATAGAATCATTAAGGTTGGAAAAGACCTTTTAGATCATCAAGTCCAACCATCAACCCAACACCACCATGCCCACTAAACCATGTCCCAAACTGCCACATCTACATGTTTTTTGAACACTTCCAGTGATGGTGACTCCACCACCTCCATGGGCAGCCTGTTCCAATGCTTGACCACTCTTTCAGTAAAGAAATTCTTCTTAATATCCAGTCTAAACCTCCCCTGGTGTAACTTGAAGCCATTTCCTCTCATCCTATTGCTAGTTACTTGGGAGGAGAGACCAACACCCACCTCACCACAACTCCCTTTCAGGTAGTTGTAGAGAGCACTAAAGTCTTCCCTCAGCCTCCTCTTTTCCAGGCTGAACAACTCCAGTTCCCTCAGCCACTTCTCATAAGGCTTTTTCTCCAGACCCCTCACCAGCTTTGTGGCCCTTCTCTGGACATGCTGCAGCACCTCAATGTCCTTCCTGTAGTGAGGGGCCCAAAATTGAACACTATTTGAGGTGCAGCCTCACCAGTGCCGAGTACAGGGGCACGATCACTTCCCTACTCCTGCTGGCCACACTATTTCTGATACAGGCCAGGATGCTGTATTGGGCACCTGGGCACACTGCTGGCTCATGTTCAGCTGGCTGTCAACTAGCACTCCCAGGTCCTTTCCACAGGGCAGCTTTCCAGCCACTCTTCCCCAAGCCTGTAGCGTTGCATGGGGTCGTTTCAGGAGGAAGTGCAGGACCTGGCACTTGGCCTTGTTAAACCTCATACAGTTGATCTCCGCCCATCGATCCAGCCTGTCCAGATCCCTCTGCAGAGCCTTTCTACCCTGGAGCAGATCAACACTCCTGCCCAACTTGGTGTCATCTGCAAACTTACTGAGAGAGCACTCGATCCCCTCATCCAGATCATGGATAAAGATATTAAATAAGGCCCCAAAATGGAGCCCTGGGGAACACCTCTGTGCATGGGGCTGTGCTATGTGGCTGCACACCCCCAGGTGGGTCTGGCATGTGGGCTCCTTACCAGCTGAGTACTACAAAACAAAGGGGTTATCATGCACCAAGACTCTGCTCAAAGGAGGCTGGCTGAAATGCCTTATCCTAGCCACAGCTTCACAGCACAACCCCTCTCCTGTAAGGTATCTCAGCCTACCTGTGGGCCATCAGCACAACATCATGAATCATAGCAGAAGAGTCCAGAGAGGTCTGTAACATACCTCATCATTTGTTAACTTCAGGAAGATATCTCCTAGGATCCCTTGTCGTGGCCAGCTCAGGACTCGCTCCTGTAGAGCGTGAAGTAAATCGACATGCTGCTGGACCAGGTACCGCAAAGAGTTGGGGAAGAAACTGAAGGGAGATTATATCAGACTGGTTACACAGAGCAGAAGCTCAGCCCTAAGCATGTACTACTGAAGTGTGTATTCATGGGTGGTCAGCACAGGCTTGCTTTAAACACAGGTATTATTAACTACTCTTATTGGAGTTCTGGCTGCACCAGGAGGCCCTGTTTTGGCTGCTATGTACATGTAGGTACCCTCTCCAGTAGGCTATTACAATGTTTTGAAGGTTTCTTAGGCTGACTCTCCAATGCATTGTGTAGCTGACCAGAATTGGCAGAACTAAAAAGCCCAAGGCAGTGCTGCTGTGGCTAATGAAGTAGAACTGTAGTCCTGAGCCATCCCATAGAGTGCTTGGAGGAGAGCTCCCCAGCTCTGTATGTTGTCCCATTTGTCAGGCCCTTTAACAAGCCAACCCTTTGATGCAGAGCTGGTCAAAATGTGCTACTGCCTTTCTGTCATTTCATGCTGATTTCATCCAGAATCAGAATGAAGATGTCAAATATTGAAATATTTTGCCAGATGGACAGGTCCCAGGGAAAAAGAGTAAAAATGAAAACTCACTTTGGACTATCATGCCTCAGTTTGAACTGTGTCATGTAGCTGCTTAAATGAGTCCACAAAAACCCATGTACCACAGTGGACTTTTGTCAAATGACTCCTTGGATGTGGGACTCCTACGGACAGTGGAAGGAGCCAAAAAAGAGACAGCTAGCAAGGACTGGGCTCCCCAGATGTGCTTAGGGGCTGGGAACTCCCAGGCCAAAGCTGAGTGAATGAGAAGAGCTGTAGGAGCTATCCCATTCTGGGAACTAAGTTGCCACAGGGGATGGCCTTTGCAAAGATCTGGATTTAACTGCTAAGCTGGGACAGTCCCACTGGTCTTGTATCTATGTGTAAATATGTGTGTATGTCTGTATATATCGATACTGAATGGATGGCAGCCACTAGTCAGGGGCTTATGTCCACAGCAGCTTCTAGAGCTGGAGCTATGGACTGGGAGAAGCAGGCAGTGAATGCACAAAGCTTTGTTCCCACCCAGGCAGGAGGCATGCGAAAGAAGAATAGGAGACTGATGGGACTCAGAAGGAGACTGAAATGAAGTAGTAGTGAAACAGTTTGGGATGCAAGGCGGACAAGATGCAAGGACAGGCAGGAAAGTCTTTAATCACTGCAAAAACCTTCCAGTGCGTCCAATTTTCAACTAGAAATAAGCTTGAAGTGTTCAAAGATCTCTGTATGGATGAAAGAAAAGTGGGAGAGAGGATGATGCAGAAAGAATATTGACTGAAGAAAACTCCCCAAAAGAGAGGGCACAGTAAATCAAATACCTTCTCTCTTTGGTGCTCCTTTTCACATCTTGCCCTTGCAACGTGGCCTTGATCTTCAGGATTAGGGAAAGGTTGATGACATATTTCCTTTCTGACTCCAGCAGCTCCAAAGCGATGTTCTGCCTTTTGGCTTCCAGAAGATAATAGTTAAGTTTAAAAATAAGGAAATGCTGACCTCAAGGACAACCTCATGTTAGTCTGGTGATCGGACACTAAATCATGAAGGAGAAACTGTCGAAAAGTAACACCAATGTCTTGTCTTTGTGTGTCTGCTTTCTCCAAAATATAAAATTCTAGCCTGATGCTGTAACATGCCCCAGACATGAATGGAGCCACAGTTTGCTAAGAACGCTCCAGAGCAAATGTGTTTTCCCCTATGAATACCATTTTTTTCCCCTAAGAGTAACAAAACAAGCAATCAAAGGTGAAACAACTCACACCAGGGATTCACATCCAGTTTCCTGCAGAATGAGAAGTTGTATTTTTCACCTGCTTAAGTAACTACTCTGTCACAATCCCATCAGTACTCTGAACCTGCCAGGTCTAGGAAAGGAGAATAGGTGTCCTGCATGCAGAGTGATTCTGTCGATGGCACAGACCAGCAAATACAAAGGCCTGATGTCTTGGAGACTGAGGCCCTGAGACATTCCCCCCTAGCAGGAGAATACTGGCTTGTGTGTCTCCCTCTGTAGAAGCTGATTACCAACCAGATGTGAATGCAGCTTTGAGCCTCTCTAGCCAGAGTTTTCCACTCTGTCCTTACCAGCCAAAGAGGGTTCACATATAATGTTGTCTGCTGAACTGTATCTGCTTTGGCTCATGTCTTTCCCTCTCTCTGGTTGCTCTTTGGAAATGTATTCATCTCCCCAGTCCTTGGTGTCCTTGGGCTGCTTCCACACTGTTGATGGCAGATGCACTTTTGACTGCCCCTCTGTTGTCAAGGAAGGTTTGAGGCTGTCATCTGCCTCTATGGTTGCTCCTGCAATGACAAACAGCTGTATGGATCTTGACACCTCAGTTGACAGGTTATACTACAGCACACAGCTAATCTGCATTATCATCCATTTGAAGTACTAGAAGGAGAGTTTGAAGCATTCTCTGTGGATTACAAGGACTGTAGCCTTGTAGTGTTAATTTACAAACAGAAGCGCAGTTGGTCAGCACTTCAGTAGAACAAGGTTTGCACTCTTCCAGCATTTATTTTCAGGCCAAATAAGGTCCAAAATTAGACACGTTAGGAAAGAAGAAACATATATTCCAAGTATATTGCACCCATTTTTAAAAAGGGTAGCAAGGAGGGCCCTGGGAACTACCGACTTGTGAGCCTCACCTCTGTGCCCGGGGAGATCATGGAGCAAATCCTCCTAGAAGCTATGCTAAGGCACATGGATGACAAGGAGGTGATTTGAGACAGCCAGCATGGCTTCACCAAGGGCAACTCCTGCCTGACCAACCTAGCAGCCTTCTATGATGGAGTGACTACATCAGTACACAAGGGAAGACCTGCAGATGTCATCTGTTTGGACTTCTGTAAGGCCTTTGACACAGTCCCCCGCAACATCCTTCTCTTTAAATTGGAGAGAGATAGATTTGATGGTGGATGAGGAATTGGTTGGATGGTTGCACCCAGAGATGCAACAGCTCAGTGTCCACATGGGTATCAGTGATGAGTGGTGTCCTTCAGAGGTCCGTATTGGGACCAATACTCTGTAATATCTTCATCAATGATATAGTGGGATCGCGGGCACCCTCAGCAAGTTTGCAGACGACACCAAGCTGAGAGGTGTGGTTGACACACCTGAGGGATGGGATGCCCTCCAGAGGGACCAGGACAAGCTCGAGGAATGGGCCCGTGTGAACCTCATGAGATTCAACAAGGCCAAGTGCAGGGTCCTGCACCCGGGTCAGGGCAACCCCTGATATCAATCCAGGCTGGGGGATGAAGGTATTGAGAGCAGCCCTGCCGAGAAGGACCTGGGAGTACTGGGGGATGAAAAGCTGGACATGAGCTGGCAATGTGCACTCACAGCCCAGAAGACCAGCCATATCCTGGGCTGCATCCAAAGAAGCATGGCCAGCAGGTCGAGGGAGGTGATTCTGCCCCTCTACTCCACTCTGATGAGACCCCCACCTGGAGTCCTGCATCCAGCTCTTGAGCCATCAGCACAGGAAAGACAGGGCCCTGTTGGAGCAGGTCCAGAGGAGGGCCACAAAAATGATCAGTGGATTGGAACACCCCTCCTCTGAGGACAGGCTGAGGGAGTTGGAGTTGTTCAGCCTGGAGAAGAGAAGGCTCCGGGGAGACCTTATTGCAGCCTTCCAGGACTTAAAGGGGACTTATAAGAAAGATGGGGACAGACATTTTAGCAATGCCTGTTGTGACAGGAGAAGGGGTAGTGGTTTTAAACTAAAAGAGGGCAAATTTAGACTAGATATTTTTGACAATGTGGGTGGTGAAAAAATTAGAGTGGCACAGGTTGCCCAGAGAGGTGGTAGATGCCCCATCCCTGGAAACACTCAAGGTCAGGTTGGACAGGGCTCTGAGTAACATGATCTAGTTAAAGATGTCCCTGCTCACTGCAGGGGGGTTGGCCTAGGTGACCTTTAAAGGTCACTTCCAACCCAAACTATTCTGTGATCTATGATTCTTAGTTGCACTTCAGGGTTTTGGGGCTCTTCAGGACTTGGTAATATGACACGTTGTCGGGTATTGTAGAAACAGAAAGTTTGTTTTTAAAAGCCATTCTCAATCGATATAAACTGTCATAGCTTTTGAAATTTTTGTTAGCGTGACGTGATTATGCAGCAGCAGGACTGATAGTCTGAGGCTATTTAATCACAGAGAAGGTAGGGGAGGGTGCAGGTGTGTTAGAGCCATTGTGCAGGAATTGCTTTAATGCAAATACCTTAAATTTGGGTTGCAATGAACCATTTTCTGTAGCTTTTGTTCTCTCTTTTTTTCAAATGGATTCAAGCAAAAGAGCCATCCAGAACGCTTTTAGCAAACAGCGAAAACATGTAATGGTTGTTCTCATGTGTCCTTTTGCTGGCCAGGATCCCCTTACCATACCCTTATCTTACTTCTGACCAATTTTTGTTTTTGCCAGAAAAACTATTCAGACATGTCTACAAGGAATCTAGAAGCTGATGGGCAAATAAACAGCTCAACAGTTCTACTGCTGTGTAGTCACTGCAAAGACCATCTCTTCCCAAGTGGCAAAATGACGCTCACATTATTCTTTGCCATATCAGTAAGCCTCAATTCTTCCTTTCTGCAGAGGCACTTAGAACCTGTGAAAGCAGCAGCAGAAAGGCTTTCCCTGCCAAATATCAATCCTTTGCATTGTCTGTAACATATTTGGCACTTCAGCAGGTTTGCCCTTATATCTCAACTGCAACTATGAAAATGGAGGTACATGGCAAAGTGAAAGACATTCCTGTGAAACTGCATTCCCTGAAAGCGTTTCTTCAAGCAAACACTCTGATTGAATCATTGTCCCACTGTTTTTTGCCAATTTGTATTTTCCTACCTGGACCTGCTACAACTTTCACACTTCCTTCTCCCATTGGCACGATCCTGGTGTCAGACACTGTTGAAGAACAAAGGGAAACTTTATAAGACAAACCAGCTGTGGAGCAGGCTTCTTCCTGCCAAGCCCAGTCAGTATCGTTAGATCCTCCAGTGTTGCACATTTTTGCTATGGAAACACCCCAGTTAGATCCTCCACTAAGGAGGATCTTTACTGTTGTGGTTCGTGTTGCGGCCTTTGTTTCAGTAGCACCTGCAGGCAGGATAATGTGGGTGTCCCTGTTGTGCTTGGTGCTGTATGACTGCAGAGGAACATTAGCAGTCTTGGCTTGTCCTTGCTCAGTAGGTGCACACTGTGTAGAAGCAAGCAGAACAAGAGGATGGAAGCCTGATACAGAGACACGGCTGCCATTTTGGGTGGAAAGGAGCTTACTGAAGAGTGGAAGGGTAAGATGATTGGAAAGAAAGGGGCAGTGGGAGAAGTGGGCGAGAGACGTGGATGTGCAAGATGGATGTGAGGGAGAGGGCTAACATACTACCTCAGAGTAGGGCAGAGGGAGGCCATGACTGGCCGGATTCTGAGCAGAACAGAGTAGAAAACAGCATGTAGTTTTCATCCAATCTTGCCTTTGTTGACATTTTAAATGTATATGTTTTTAGGGTCTTCCTATCTGAAGCAAGAGAACGATAGACCAGTTTAGACGCCCAAAATTAATTAGAGAAAAGAAGGCTCTGGTCCATCACATTTTCTTTTATTCCAACTTTCACAAGTGTTTGGCAGTTGACAGTGTTTTCCTGGTCAAGGTGTAACCCTACACCATGGGTTAGCAGCTTCCACAGCTAACAAGAGGCAGTGATTCTCCTAGCAGTGTGTATATGCAAGGAGCAGTGACACCAGTAGTCAAGTGTGTATAGATACCAGCTCCCATGTCCCCTTGTCAAAACAACTGCTGGTATGGCCCCTTAATGACACTGTGTGTTCTCTGTCAGCCCAATCTCTGTGATCCTCCTTTCTGTGCCCTGCTCCCTTACATGGAAACAAATTCACAGGTTGTAGTATTTTTATCAGGGGCTTCTGCTTGTCCCTGTTTCTGTGCCACTAGCATTACAGGGAAAAAGATCCAGCCTGCTTTCCTTTCCTTGGAGGAGGCAAGCAATGAGTTTTGGGACAATGTTTACAGAGCAAGCATCTCCTGAATCCAGGCCAGCAGCAAGGTTGCTATCCTGAGACACTGTGACAAGGTGTGTGCACAGACCCAGGAGCAGTGCTGCTGAGGGGAGCACTCCCATTCTCTTTTTGTGCTGCTGCCATCTGAGGAAAACTTGGTGTCCTCTTACCCTAGTGACCTTTTTCTGGACTTTTTCCTGAGGAAGGCACTGCATTTGCCTACTCTATTTCCTACCTTTTTCGTAAGTCACGTTGTGTAAAAGACTTGTAAAATCTTCATTGATCAGCACAGGTTCTGGGAGGTTAATGGATCGAAATGGGCTGCCCTGGAGAGGTGTAGGCACTGTCTGTGACCCGTGATCATCCTTCTGTGCTCTTCTGTACAAATACAAACAATGAGACAGTTGGAAAGTATGAGTGCTACAGGTGAAACTCCTACACTACAGTTGTGGCAGGCACCAGTATAAGTACAAGCACAGAGTGAGAAGTAGGACAACTCCAGCAGAGACCAGGAAAGGAGTTGGCTTTGATGGAGTTGGCTTTGATGCAATTCATGAACAATGTTCTGGCAGTAACTTCCACTGGCTATATAAGAAGGTTATTTCAGATCTGTTCTTTTGCAGAGCATATTTTATCTAATTAAATAGCTTAATTAGCTAAGGGGCTAGCCTAGATTTGCAAAGCACTTGCATCAAGGCAGCTGTATACCCATCATCAAAACTGTTTTCAGAAGGAGGCTAATCAGGGCTAAGGCGGACAAGCCGTCTGCTTCATTGCAGTAACAGTGTGGCCCAGCAGTGTGCAAACATGCTCCTGCATGACCCTGCTCAGAGAATAAAAGTCTGGTGACAGGAAAGCAGAGCATGACTGCACCATCAAGACCCCACTGAGTCCTGCATGCTTGGAAGGGGAAACTGCAGTGCTATTGTCTGGATGGGGGTGGCTTAGCAATAGCTTGTAATGGTGAAGGCTCCTGACTTTCAACAATATTCCTGCTCCAACATGTCTCTAGCAGGTTGGTGTGTTTCACTGGGCCCTGGTTTCCCTGAAAGCTGCTGGGGCTATTTTGCTGTTGGAATCCCAGTGAGGTGTTGGTGTTTTTATCCTGTGTTTGCTCTGTGGGGTATGTGTCTAAAAGCTTGGGGTGAACTGAATGCTAGAGCTTCCAGTAATAATCAGGTTTGATACACATGCCCAGCCAGGAAAAGATGAAGAAATTAAGCTATAAGGAAATGAGCAAAATGGACAGCACTGCTAATTAGCACTTCTGGAGCCCTGGAGTTCAGGCCCTTACTTAGCTTTCACTTTCCGTGATTCCCGCCGCTTCTCTTGCTGCAGCTGCTCAATTTTCTGTTGCATTTCCTCCTGCTTGGCACTGATTTCTTCAATCATTGACTTTGCATCGCTGAGCTCCTCCTGAGAAACAGGCAAAAGCACAGCATTCCCAGGGTGCCCATCAGACTTACATAGCACAGCTTTGAATGCTGGCTGGTGTGCACTGGAGATGCTTCAGGGTGCTGCAGAGTGGCTCTGTGATTAGACACCCTTCCTTTGCAAGTCCAGTGTGTGTAATGCATGCCATGCACAGCATGGCAATCCTTAATTCAACCACAGGCAACTCACATGAGCCAGCATGATGTCACATGGTTAAGGGACTGGTGGGAGATGGAGACATAGGGCTTCATACACCACCAGGTGAAAGCACTGGGAGGACTCCTGTCTTTAATGGCATTTGGAGGTGGGCCTGAGGAAGCACATTTCCCTCTGCAGTTCTCCAGCATGTATATTCACATCTTGCACTTGGTTCAGATCCTAGTGTGATCATTCACATGTATAAGCTTTTGCTGGTCAAGGCCTTGGAGCTGCCCTTTTAGCCTGGTTTCCTAAGGAAATGAGGCCCTCCATAACCTCCCTGTCAGCACGTCCTCCCTCAGGCAGTTTCAATCAAGCCTTACTCAGATGCAGAGCTCTCTGATGCATGAAATTCCTGCAGGTTTTATCTGTGTGAGTGGCAGGGTGGAGGAGAGAGACTCAAGAGTTTCTTGTAAATCAAAGGAGAGCTATTTTCCCCAAGCAAGGAGGTGGCTTCACTGGGAGCTCAGCATTTGGACAGTCAACATGGGCACGAGGCAGAGGGAGAGCAGCCTTTGCCCCTCCTGTTGCTTGCATAATTCCTTGTGTCTGGATTTTAAAACTCCCTTTTTCCCCCATAACAATGTCCTGAATAACCCTGCCTCTCGTTGCTTTGAGACCTCTGCCATATGCCCTTACACTTCTTGTTGTCTCCCTTGCTCATATGGGACCACAAGGCTCCTTGTGCCCAGTGCCATCTGCCTCTCCCTGTCACAGTGTCAGTAACAGGCTTTTCCAGTAAGCAGCCCTCTAACTTCACAAGGTATTATTGACTCAGCAAAACCCCATGGGGAAAATTTACCATAAAAACAATACAATTGTTCCTCTGCCTATCTCCTCATAGGCAGTCATCCAGTTTCTGCATGGAGATGCTGGCTGGTTTAAAGTGTACATCAAGCCTTCTTGCTAGGCTCTTTCTCCAGTCCTTTGTTTTTATCCTCTTGGGCTGGATCAAACCAGGCAGCACTTCCTCCCACCCATGTGGGAATGCAACTTCAAAAGGCTTTAGGGTTTTGCGTTAAGACTGTGCTCCCCAGTGGCTTTGGTTCCTGCAGGAAATGCAGGAGACCTGACTCGGGGAGAGGTATGGCACAGTGGCCCAGCAGCAGCCTCTAAACAGGCCATATGCCTGTTGCATTTGTAGCCCAGAGCAAGGGTTGCTTGTGCCCAGGGTAGTTTGCAGCACTGCCTCGTGGCCCATCAAGAAGTCTAAACAGGTCAGGGCATGGGCTATGTTTGGGTTGGAGTAGTCAGGGGAGACACAAAGCCAAAGGAAGTGCACCAGATACATCTGAAACAATTGCCAGCTCATTTTCTTTGCAAGCAGGAAGGTTTGATGGAGGCAGGGGAATATGGTAGGTATGCAACCCCCTGCAGGTCACGCTCCTACCTTGAATGTGTTGAGGGAATTCTTCATCTCTGCCACTTTCTCTTCCATGGCACAGCGGCAGCTCTTGACCTTCTCCTCCAGGGCATACTCGCCATGCTGGATTCGTGACAGCTCCTGCATCGCTTCTGTGAAACCCGCCTTCAACTCAGAGGCTAATGCCTGCAACTAGAGGAACCACAAATATGGTGGGTTCACTCCCTCGTCCCATATGCAAGTGCCCCAAGGGTCACCCATGGTTCAGAGTGGCATGAAGGCTGGGTGTAACCCATCCTCGAAGATACTGTCCTCTTTCTCCTCCTCCTGTTATGGCTGGGAGTAATGGGAGGGAGATTCGGCCCCTGCTGCAGCCTCATTACAGGGCAGGAGGTGTTTGTCTTGGGTAGTCAATGTGCCCCTTTTTAGACTTAGAGTTTTTCCAGGCTCCCTGGCAGTTTGCAGCCTGTCAGTCTGTAGAAGGAGAGGATAGCCTGAAACATGCCAAGAAGGTTTGCAATAACAGCAGCCAGATTATCAATCCCCAAAGCAGCTGAGCAATCAAGAACATGTCCGTTTTTGAGCAAATCCTCCTCCCCTACATGCTCGTGGGGCTGGTGCTCTCCCCAGACAGGTCTAACACCTCCTCGTTCTCCAAGGTCTGTGGGTGGAGAAGCTCTGTCCTTGGTCAGCAGGCGCTTTCCAGGGAAGGAGGCAGCTCTTTAATTCGTGATAGGGAAGGAATGGGAGATTTTCCCCTGGCATACAGCAACACTGTGCCCACGCTCCCTGGTTTATGTCCCTAGAGGCCCTAGTGCTGCTGGAAGAGCTCACAACCTAAGCTGGAAGCAGCTGGTTGATAGCCGGGCGAAGCAGGAGACAGACCAGGCAAGCCAGGCTGGCATAGCAAGCAGAAAAGGCAGGTGTGGAGGTGGGCAATGAGGGGAGGTATAGGTGGCTTGCAGAGGGCTAAGCGGGGACACCCTCTTTGGGGGCAGCTTGGGCTGGAAACCCTGAACTCTGCCCCCACTGCTGTGAGCAAGGCGCTTGTTCTGCCTGCACAAAGCCCACGGCGAGGTCACAGCCCAAGGTGCTTTGGTACCAGGGGTTTTTACCTTTACAACAGAAATTCGGCCTAACATCTGGTTATAAACTGAGTCCAAAACTGGAGCACTGATGGTAAGAGGACAGCCACCCCGGGGAACTCAGGCGCTTGAGTCCTGTAAATGGAGCAGAGATGGCTTCCGATACCTCGGGGCAATGGCATGCACCATCCTCCTCTGATCAAGACTGGCAGCATCTTGACAGAGGACGTCTGCCTGACATCCCCACTCCTACCCCAGTGCTTACCCCACAGTCCCCAGTCTGGTCTGGCTGGACACATATTCCCAGAGCTTCCTGGGTAGGAAGAATGGGACTGATGAGCTGGGATAGGGCAGAGGGGAGCCAGAGGCTGCAGACATCATCCCTCCTCAGGCAGTCAACCCTGACTCCCCAAGCCAGCTGGAGTTCCAGACCCCTTGGTTCACCCACCCTTTCTGGCTGCAGTGGACACCTTCCTGTGACACTCCTGTGACACAGGAATGGTCACCCTGTTGACCTGTGAGTGTAGCCTGAAGGGTTAGAGGGTCTGCTTGGGGACAATGCTGCTAGGGAAGGCAATGACCATACTGCTTCTGATATCAGCCTACGGGGGTGAGCCAGATGGTCTTAGCATCATCAAACATCCAAACATACATGCCTGGAGAAGTGGGGAGCTATAAGTACTGCAACTGTGCAAAATGTTAATATTCCTATCCCTGCTCACAGGTGCTTGCCACACTTACACACTGAGGTGACATTGCCAAGGCAGAGTCTCCCTGCTAGCCTGCATCAGAGCTAGGCATTGCACACTCTCCTCCAAGAGAAAAGCTGCGATTTATCAGATCCATCCCTTCCAAGTGAAATACGCTATCCTGTTCTATCCTATGCTATCCATTTTGGGGATCTGCTTCAGGAGGGAGATGTCACAGCCTCAAGTCTTGCTGGCAGCTGAGGAGTCTGGAAGCTGTCCCTGGAGATAACAATGTCTGGGGAGAATAAGCCCAAAATAAAATGTTTCTGCCCACAAGCCTGGCCATATCCTCCTTGGATGCTTCCAGAAAGGGGGTAAACTAGGCAGATCCTTTGTGAAGGATACAGGGATGGGAGTCATTGCTCATCTAGAAGCTTCAGGGTCAAAAACCGCTAGGTTTGCTAGTCAGCAAAAAGGGACCACTGCAGAGACTTTGGTGTCCATGTGTACCAAAATGCTCTGTGAAAGCAGAGTCCAGGCAGCCAAAAGAAAGATTTAGACTAGAGGCTGGAGTAAAATATCCCTGCATCTAAGAGCTTGTTATTTTGGGACTTCACTGTGGGCTAATCTGCTTTTGCAGTCACAGTGCTAGCTTGGCTTCTTTGTGTATCCTTCCCAGTGCTCCAGATCCCAGCCTGGGTCTGTCCTGCCTGGTACATCCTTCCTTGGCCCCATGCAGCTTGCAGTGGCTATTTCAGACACTGAAACGCATCTCACACTTGCATTTCCCTTTGTTGCTGCTTGATGGATGAAAGCAGCCAGCAACACCAATCATCAGCCACATCTGCCAGGGCTTGTATGACTGCACACGAAGTGCTGAAACCCTGAGAACTCCCTCCTCTGCTGCCCTTAGCGCTCAGAGCATAGAAGGGAAACACAAACAACCTTGTGGCATTGAATGCAAGTTTGATCCAAAATTGAGTGGAATGGTACAGGAACATTATCTTTGAACTCCTGCCAAGCGCAGTGTTGTGCTCAAGCTGTGGATTTTAGTTTAAGCTCATCTCTAACAACAAGCTGTAGAAAACCATCCTTTAAATCCCATGGGCTGTTAGAACAAATGGAAGCCATTGAAACATCAGCTCATGCTTCTGTCTTGCCCATGTGATTATGAGTACAGAACTGGAGAGACATTTCACAGGTTTATGAACCCCTGGAAAGTCAAGCCAATTCACTGTTTCTAAAGTTTCTAAAGTGCAACACATACCACAAAAAACAGATTTTATACTACCACAGAAACTTGGCAACAGTTTAACTGTAATGTGTTGCCCTGGCTCACCTATTCATGGGAATAAATACACACCTTAATAATAAATACTCAAGTTGTGGAAGTTAAAAGGAACACAACTAACAACTTAAGTTGAACTACCTAATGCCTAGAGAATAAGTGAATCTGCATGGTCACAGGGAGACCTTAGAAACTGTCCAAGAACTGTTCAAACAAAGCATTTAGGCATCTAAATAATTTAGTAAGAGATACACATTTCAGCCCCCATCTGTCTTTGGAGTGTGGCCCTCCAACCTGACAAAGCAATGCAGTGAGGGATCCAGGGCATGTATCTGTAGCAGATTATGTCTTTCTTGGGGGCCATGACTCCCATTTCACCTGCTGCCCTGATGTTTTTCAGCTGTGTGGAAAAACCATGCAAGTAAAATCTCTAGTGAGACCTAGTAACTGCACTATGTTCTGTGGGTAGTTGCCCATGGGGAAATGAAGGATTCTCCTCCCCTCTTTGCATGACTCTGCTTAATAGGACACTGAGAAGCAGTCATTTCTGGCTCTCACTCTTCCTCCAGCCCAATGAGACTATGAACTCTCTGTTCAAGTTCACCTAGAGAGGGAAGTAGGCGTTTCCCAAAATGGAGGGGGGAACCATGACCATGTGGAGCAAGTAATGATGGCTAGAGGGGAAGAGAATGGTGAGATTGGAAGACATACAAGGAGCATTTCTCAGCCCGGTTTTGACTTCAATTTGCAAGAGTGAAGCTATTTTTATATATATATATATATATATATGTATGTAT